TTGTGTAGTGGGCTGGGCGGTGAGGTGGGCGGTGGGGTGGGTGGTCTCTTACTAATTAATAACTAACTACCATGACTTGTCCTGCCTTCTCTCTCCTTTCTCCAACTCCTCCTCTCTTTCCTCATCCTTTTCCTCCTCCTCCTTCCTTCTTCTTCTTCTTCTTCTCTTCTTCGTCTTCTTCTCGTCTTCTTCTTCTTCGTTCTTTTCTCCTCCTCCTCTTCCTCTTCTACTTCCTCTTCTTCTTCCTCTTCTTCTTCCTCTTTCCTTCTTCTTCTCTTCCTCCTTCTTCCTCTGCTGTTGGCTGGTGAACATACAGAGGAGGAGTGAGTGTGGACCCGGATGCAGTAAGTGCTGGTCTCATAGCAATGGGTGGGGAGGAGGGGGGGTGAGGAGGGTAGGAGGGAGGGGGTGAGGGAGGGTGAGGGAGGGTAGAGGTAATTCTTGTCAGTCAGTCAGTTAGTTAGTTACTCAGTCAGTCAGTCAGTCAGTTGGTTCTCTGCCACTTTAACCTTACCTGACCTTCTCTGGGTCAGTAATGATGTCCGAACCATCACCACTACCACCACCACCACCACCATTACCACTACCACCACCACCTTTACCACCACCATTACCACCACCACCATTACCACTACCACCATTACCACTACCACCACCACCACCCCACGACCACCACCACTACTACCACCACCACTACTACCACCACCACTACTACCACCACCACTACTACCACCACCACCACTACACCACTACCACCACTACCCCACCGTTACCACTACCACCACCACCACCACCACACCACCACCACCACCACTACCACCACCACCACCACCACCACTACCACTACCACCACCACTACTACCACTACTACCACCATTACCACCACCACTACTAACGCCACTCTTAGGGTCTCTAGCTCACAAGAAACGAATTGTGGTGGTGGTGGTTGTCGGGGTGGATAGTGGTAGTGATGGTGGTGGGGGTGGCAGTAATAGTGGTGGTAGGGATGATAATTGTAGTAATAGTGGTAGCAGGGCACTGACCAGGTGTGTTGTTGTTGATGTCCTGTGTAGGTTAGGTTAGGTTGAGTTTGATTTGGTTAGGTTAGGTTAGGTTGAGTTAGATTTGGTTAGGTTAGGTTAGGTTGAGTTAGATTTGGTTAGGTTAGGTTAGGTTAGGTTAGGGTCAGGCTGGGTCGTGGTGATAACACATTCTTAATTATACAGGCACTACTCCTCCCTCCCTCCGCCCACTACACCTCTGTCAGTGAGGAAGGAGGAGGAAGGTCTTGACAGTGAAGGAGGGAGAGAAGGAGGTCTTGACAGGAAGGAGGGAGTGAAGGAAGGTCTTGACAGTGAAGGAGGGAGAGAAGGAGGTCTGAGAAAAGGAGGGAGAGAAGGAGGTCTTGACAGGGAAGGAGGGAGGGTAGGAGGTCTTGACAGGGAAGGAGGGAGGGTAGGAGGTCTTGACAGTGAGAGGGAGAGAAGGAGGTCTTGACAGTGAAGAAGGGAGGGAAGGAGGTCTTGACAGTGAAGGAGGGAGGGAAGGAGGTCTTGACAGTGAAGGGAGAGAAGGAGGTCTTGACAGTGAAGGAGAAAGGGAAGGATATCTTGACAGTGAAGGAAAGTGGGCACGTCTACCTGGTCTGCCTTCACCCGTCCCTTATCTCATTACGGGACCCACAGACCAGGTAAGAAGCCTCACCTGAGCGGCTCGTGTTTGGCTGGGTTAAGAGTGTGTATTATGGGGACTGGTTAGGTTAGGGACACGTTAGGGGAGGAGGAGAGGTGAGGTAAGGGGGGTGAGGTAAGGGAGGAGGAGGAGAGGTGAGATAAGGGGAGGAGGAGGTGAGGTGGAGGTAAGGGGGGGTGAGTAAGGGGAGGAGAGGTGAGGTAAGGGGAGGAGGAGGAGGGTGAGGTAAGGAGGAGGAAGAGAGGTGAGGTTAGGGGGAGTTAAAGGGGGTATTGGAGGAAGAGGGGGGAGCTACACACACACACACACACACACACACACACTTGTCTCTTGTACTGTTATCGTCCTTCCTTCACTTCTCTCTTCTTCATTTATGTCGATAGATGACTTATTGCTAGGTACTTGTGTGTGTGTGTGTGTGTGTGTGTGTGTGTGTGTGTGTGTGTGTGTGTGTGTGTGTGTGTGTGTGTGTGTGTGTGTGTGTGTGTGTGTGTGTGTGTGTGTGTGTGTGTGTGTGTGTGTGTGTGTGTGTGTGTGTGTGTGTGTGTGTGTGTGTGTGTGTGTGTGTGTGTGTGTGTGTGTGTGTGTGTGTGTGTGTGTGTGTGTGTGTGTGTGTGTGTGTGTGTGTGTGTGTGTGTGTGTGTGTGTGTGTTTTGAGGATGGTGGGGGTCGTTTCACATTAGTGTGGGCGGTACGGGGAGGGCGTGGCAGAGTAGAGGCTGTGTTTAATGTATATCACATGACACTCCTCCCTCCTCAGTTGCTACTCCAGAGAGAGAGAGAGAGGAGAGAGAGAGAGAGAGAGTTATAATGCCATTTGTCAATTTTCTCACGATATTAACTTTCGTGTCACCATACTGTCACCATACTACCACCACACTGTCACCATACTACCACCATACTGTCACCATACTACCACACCTACCACTACCACCATAAGAGTCACGTGATTGTGATACAGTGATGGAGGCTCAGGGAATGTTTGAACACCTGTAGGTAACATATGTGGCGGGGGGTACACAGGTGTTGGCTAGCCATACCTGTTCATGTACACACCTTGCAGATAGACCCAAGGCAGGTGTGGTGGAAAATGTGTTTTGTGTGTGTGTGTGTGTGTGTGTGTGTGTGTGTGTTTTGTTTACCTTATGCAAGTTCATTTACATTGGGACCTGACACCATCTTCCTTCCTTCCTTCCTTCCTTCCTTCCTTCCTTCCTTCCTTCCTTCTTTTTCTTCCTTCCTTCCTTCCTTCCTTTCCTTCCTTCTTTTCCTTCCTTCCTTCACACAAAGGTATTATTATCGTGATAAAAAAATCCAAAAAGGAAAAATGCATTAGTCTGTCGGTGTGTGTGTGTGTGTGTGTCTTGGTGTCTGTCGGTCTGTGTGTGTCTGTCGGTGTGTGTGTGTGTGTCTGTCGGTCTGTGTGTGTGTCTGTCTGTCTGTGTGTGTGTGTGTCTGTCGGTCTGTGTGTGTGTGTTTGTCGGTCTGTGTGTGTGTCTGTCGGTTCTGGTGTGTCTGTCGGTCTGTGTGTGTGTCTGTCGGTCTGTGTGTGGTGAGAGCCTCATCCTCACCACACGTAGCCGGGATCAGGTGTGAGGGGGGAGGTGACAGCATAAGTTACCTACGCCCACGCCTAGAGGGTACAACCACCCACCACGCCCACACGAGGAAGATAGGGCAGTGGGTGAGGTGGTGGGGAGCTAGTAATCATATTTATCATATTAACTATCCTCACCGTTTCCCTCCCCCCCTCTCCTCCCCCTCCCTCCTCTCCCCGTATGACCATCAGTTGTCTCCCTTCCCTCTCCCCTCTCCCGATGCTAGAGAGAGAGAGAGAGGAGAGAGGGGGGGGGTTACTTCTACTTGCATCCAGATAGCGTTATAATAACCCTGTTTGTTTACAGGTGAGTGAGACGGGAGGTAATGAACGGGGCATTAGGGGCAGGTAGACCCCACAGGTGAGTACCAGACCTCATAAATTATTGGCAGGTAATGACACACACACGCACACACGCACGCACGCACGCACACTTGGGGAGAGGAAGAAGGAAGAATGTGTGTGTGTGTGTGTGTAAGTAACGCTCTCATTAGTAACATATAACTATAATTTCGGCGTGACGGAGAGACGGAGGCGTGACGTGAGCTTGGGATGTGTCACGCCGCGTCACCCTTAACCCACCACTACCATCTGTCTGTGTTGAGTGACGAGGAGGGAGGGTGAAGGAAGAGGTGGTGGAGGAGGAGGGTGAAGGAGGAGGGTGAAGGAGGAGGTGGTGGTGGTGAACGTTTTCTTAGCCCGTCTTCTCTCTCTCAGTCTCAGTGTTTCTCGTGACGGCAGAGAGGCAAGACGTGCTGGTGCTCTGGTCTTCCGCCACTACTACTGACCACCTCTATACTCCCTCCTTCCTCCCCTGGTCTACACTGTCACCACACAAATACCAAGAAGATTGAAAAAGAAAAGTGGTGATAGTGATGATGTGGTGGTGGTGATCTCGTCCTAATAGAGACTTTTGGTAGGGTAGGAAAGAGAGACAGAGAGAGAGGGAGACTTCAATTTCCAAGCGGTACTTATCCAGAGGGGCTACAAGTGAGGCTCCCTAATTAACACACACACACACACGCGCGCGCATAGACAAACGAGTGAAAAATAAAACACCAAGCCTTCGTTTTAATACCAGAAGAAAAACAGAGAAAAACGAGGGATGTGTTTTGTGGTGTATTGATGCGTCAGGATAAGAGCAGTGTTGACGTCCGTAGTGTTGTGTCCAAGGCCCCACGAGCGGGTATATGTCCAAGGCCCCACGAGTGGGTATATGTCAGGCCCCAGAGCGGGTATATAGTGTCCAGGCCCCAGGATCAGGTATAGTGTCCAAGGCCCCAGCGGGTATATAGTGTCCAAGGCCACGAGCGGGTATATAGTTCAAGGCCCCACGAGCGGGTATATAGTGTCCAAGGCCCCACGAGCGGGTATATAGGTGTCCAAGGCCCACGAGCGGGTATATAGTGTCCAAGGCCCCACGAGCGGGTATATAGTGTCCAAGGCCCCCAGGAGCGGGTATATAGTGTCAAGGCCCCAGAGCGGGTATATAGTGTCCAAGGCCCAGGAGCGGGTATATAGTGTCCAAGGCCCCGGAGCGGGTATATAAGTGTCCAGGCCCCAGGAGCGGGTATATAGTGTCCAAGGCCCCACGAGCGGGTATATAGTGTCCAAGGCCCCAGGAGCGGGTATATAGTGTCCAAGGCCCCCAGAGCGGGTATATAGTGTCCAAGGCTCACACGAGCGGGTATAGTGTCCAAGGCCCCACGAGCGGGTATATAGTGTCCAAGGCCCAGGAGCGGTATAGCAAGTGGGCGTTGTGCTGCAGAAGGCTGAACCAAGATGGGCGTGAGTGTTCGGGTGGGTAAGGGCCCAGCACCACCAGGATGAAGTATGTGTACAGCAACAGACCCTCCAAGGTGATACACGTACAGGAGGTAGGTACTGAGAGAGAGAGAGAGTGAGAGAAAGTGAGAGAGTGAGTGAGAGAAAGTGAGAGAGAGTTTATTGATCAGTGAGGGGGGCGTACTGTCGAGATGGTACCAGCAGCATTGTTACTGTTTTGGTGGGCGGTGGAGAGAGCTCGTCTACACACACACACACACACACACACACACACACACAGACGTTGATAAGTGAATTACATTTGTTAGGTGTTTGTGGAAGGCCGACCCGGCAAGCTGAGAGAGAGAGAGAGGGGGGAGGTGATACTGTTAGCTGGGGGGAGGGAGGTTCACTGTAATGCTGCACTGTACTTTGATGATGCGACACTGTACTTGGCGTTCTTCAGCATCGTGACTGCAGGGTGAATATAGTGATCTGATTGTGTTGTTACCTGTTGGTGAGTTGTGTGGTGGTGGGTGATACAAGGTACAGGTCATTTGCCTCAGGGATGAACGTGAGGTGTTGGTGGTCAGACGTATACCAAATACCTCTTGGCCTCTCCCTCCCTCCCTCATCTCCATCCTTCATACCTCCAGCTCTTCTCCCCCACTCCCTCCTTCATTCCTCCCTTCCTCTCTCCCACACCACCACTATCACCACCACCAGGACAGTGACAACACAGGAAGGATCTTTAGTGTTAAAACTCCCAATTGCAGGAAGTGCCTGTTAAGATGGGACACTGACGAGGAAGTAGTTAGTGGCAAGTGTGTGTAGAGGAAGCTGGTGGTTTGTGGAGGGGTGTAGGAGGAAAGTAAGGAGGTAGGAGGCAAAAGGTGTTGGGGGGTAGAGTCACGCTTTTTTTGTGCATACTGCCCCCTACATCCTTGTGTAAGGTGAAGCGCAGAAGGTTTACAGCGCCCAACAGGGAAGCATGCTGAGTTCATGCTGCCTTTATGTCTCACGAGTTAAGGGCGTAGAAGCCTGAAGAGTGGTTTATGTCATCAAGTATAAAGCTCCAACAACTTGTCCTGAATACTGAATTCGCAACTTTCGACTTACACCAGGTACCTACTGTACTGCTAGGTGAACAGGGACTAATGGGGGCTAGGAAGTAAGTCCAAACAACTTCCACCGGCCCGGGAATCGAACCCGTGACATCTCGCTTGGTGAAGGCAAGAGCGGTACCACTCTACCACCAGCACGCCTTGACCTGAGGAATTATGGGAGTCAAGAGAGGTCAGCTGCTCACACACACACACGAGGTGGCAACTTGAAGAACAAGAAGAAACAGAGTATTGTGGTAATTTCGTGAGAGCCATGGCCACGCTTTATAACACATGTGGCCCACCATCGTCCACCACTGCTGGCCATTGGTAGGGAGGGGGGGCAGGAGGCAGAATGCAAGTTTTCAACATTAACATGGTTTCAGTACACACACACACGACTCTGCTGGTGTGTGTGTGTGTGTGTGTGTGTGTGTGTGTGTGTGTGTGTGTGTGTGTGTGTGTGTGTGTGTGTGTGTGTGTGTGTGTTACGGAGTGCAGGCAGGTGTCACTATCAACACCTCAAAGATAGTAAATGTAGGGAGTCACACAGAGGGGATGATGATGATGACACCAGTTGTGGCACTAGCTTGACCCCCTCTCAGTGCCACCCTCTAGTTACCCTCAGTGCCACCCCTCTCAGTGCCACCCCTCAGTGCCACCCCTGGAGAAAGTGACGCGGGGGCTGTGAATATTTCTCTGGGTCTTGTCATCTTCACTATACTCTATGGGGGGTGACCTGAAGAATATGACTTACAGTGTGTGTGTTGAGGGTAATGATATGAGTATGTGTGTGTGTGTCACTGGTGCACCCTCCCTCCCTCCCTCCCTCCCTCCCTCCCTCAACTGCGGTTACCTGGCTTCTACCTCCGGAGAGAGTGTGTGTGTGTGTGTGTGTGTGTGTGTGTGTGTGGTGTTGTGTGTGTGTGTGTGTGTGTGTGTGTGTGTGTGTGTGTGTGTGTGTGTGTGTGTTGTAATGTTGTGGGTTTGAGAACTTGTAAGAAGGTTAAGTAGGCCAGTGTGGATGTTGTTGGGGCGTGGTTGCTGTGAACTGGCCCGCCCACATGAGGGAGGGGGGGTGGGGGTTAGGGAGGGAGGGGGTGTAGGAAGGGGAAGGAGGGGGGCATGATTGTGTTACTTGCTCTTAGGTGTTACAGGTAAACTAATTAGTCTCTGCGCTGTTGATAGTGATGTAAGTCCTTCCTGGGGGGTGTAGAGAGAGGGGGGGGCTGAGGAAGGAGGGGTGTGATCACGCTTCCAGACTCCCACACGCACGGAGTGTGTGGTGTTGCTAACTGTCTGGGGCAATGTGTGTTGTATAGGTTTCTCCAGCACACACACACACACACCAACCATGTGTACACGATAATTCTGTGGATGGGGTTTTAAGTTGTTACTCCACCAAGCCATAACCAAACTTGTCATTACTGGTGGATCGGTGGGAGGAGGAGGAGGAGGAGGAGGAGGGAGGAGGAGGAAGAAGAGGAAAAAAGAAAGAGAGGAAGAGAAAAAAAAGAACAACAGCAGTAGAGGAGGATAATGAAGTAGACAAGATGAGACTACAAAAGGTGGGGGTGTTAGCCGACCAATAGGAGTCATCAGATAACACACACATGCAACCCAACCAATCATTATAATCTGGTGATATATCTTTATCAGCCAGGTGGTGGTGATAGGCTGTGTGTGTGTGTGTGTGTGTGTGTGTGTGTGTGTGTGTGTGTTACTTTAGGCCTTCATAAACTCCTTTTCACCCACCCACTTCTCACGCCCACACGCCCATCTTACCTTTGCTCTACTCAGGGATGTTACTCAGCCATAACACCATAATTACCACTATATATCCCCGCCACTATATACTTCCTGTTACTTTATTCCTCCTTTAAAATGATCATGACTTTCTTGTTCGTATACCTTGGTAATTAGTACACCAGGTGACCGCCAGGTAATTAGTACACCAGGTGACCGCCAGGTAATTAGTACACCAGGTGACCGCCAGGTGTATTATGGCGCTGTGTGTGGGCGGGAAGGTAAGTTTGTCACCATTGTCTCTCTTCCTTTTATTATATCACACAGAGTCGAGGTAACGCCCATCATATAACACTAAACAAGACCTCCAGAGCGTCACTTAAAACATTGTCTCACCCTTGCCCACCCCCCACCCCCCACTCCCCCTACTCACCCCCCACCTACCCACATCCCCCACTCCCACCCCACCCTCACGCCAACCTCCCCACCTCCACCCCCACCCCACCCCCACCTCACCTCCACCACCCCTACCTCACCTCCACCCCACCCCACCGTCCATCAAGTACTGCTACAAGTATATTTCTCTCCCCCCTCTTTCCCCTCTTTCCATCCTCCTCCCTTCCCTGTCCTAAGTGAAAGTTCTTAATTAGTTCATCCTCGGTTGGTTACCTGTGTGTGTGTGTGTGTGTGTGATGAATTAAATTTCAGTGAAAATATGAGTGTAGTGTATAGTGTAGTGTGAAGTGTAGTAGTGTAGTGCTGGTGGAGTCATGGTGCTGCATCACTGGATGCACTATGACATGGGAGTGGAACGCGTTTGTGTTTTTCTCTTTTAAAGTCATTATGTAATACTGTTAACATTTTGGTGTGTGTGTGTGTGTGTGTGTGTGTGTGTGTGTGTGTGTGTGTGTGTGTGTGTGTGTGTGTGTGTGTATGGAGGAGGAGAAGAGGAGGGGCAGGAATCACAGCCTGCACAACACACGCTTCTTCTCACCTGGATGTGTGGTTAAGAGTGTGTTGTCTCGCCTGCTGCCTCTGCTGGATTGCTGGTCACTGTAGCAGGTGCAGTCCATCACCTGTGAGAGAGAGAGAGAGAGAGAGAGAGAGAGAGAGAGAGAGAGAGAGAGAGGTGGTGTCGTGTTGTATGTATGTGTGTATGTGTGTGTGTGTATGTATGTATGGGGGTATATACAGTATAATAGCCTCTCCAGGTACCATCCACCCTCACCTGGTGTTCACTGTACGCTCGTCTACATACATTCATACCTTGTTTCTTATACAGGTGTGTTGGCCGTTCTCATTATCTACCTGTCATGTATACCTGTCCTCATTATCTACCTGTCCTCATTATCTACCTGTCCTCATTATCTACCTGCAGGAATAACAAGGTGTGGGGGGGTGTGACGTATCGTGAACATGACATGACTGGCCAGGTATTCAGGTGATGGTTGTCATGTCATTATCGATATTGATAAGGATGTAACAGAATACTTTCACCTGTGTGTATAAGAGCTCCTCTGTTACTCAATGTGTACCTGTGTGGTGGGTGTGGTAGTGATGGTGGTGTGGGTAGTGAGGGGGTGGTGTGGTAGTGAGGGGTGGTGGTAGTGATGGGTGGTGTAGTGATGGGTGGTGTGGTAGTGAGGGGTGTGGTGTGGTAGTGATGGGGTGTGGTGTGGTAGTGAGGGGTGGTGTGGTAGTGATGTGGGGTGGTGTGGTAGTGATGGGTGGTGTGTAGTGGATGGGTGGTGTGGTGAAAGTGATGGGTGGTGTGGTAGTGAGAGGTGGTGTGGTAGTGATGGGTGGTGTGGTAGTGATGGGTGGTGTGGTAGTGAGGGGTGGTGTGGTAGTGATGGGTGGTGTGGTAGTGAGGGGTGGGTGATGGTGGTGTAGTGATGGGTGGTGTAGTGATGGGTGGTGTGGTAGTGATGGGTGGTGGTGCAGGGTGGTGTGAGAGGGTGGTGTGGTAGTGAGGGGTAGGTAGAAAGGATGGGTGGTGTGGGTAGTGAGGGGTGGGTGGGTGGTGGGGTGAGGGGGGGGGGTGTAGTGAGGGGTGGTGTGGGTAGTGATGGGTGGTGTGGTAGTGAGGGGTGGTGTGGTAGTGAGGGGGTGGTGTGGGTAGTGAGGGGGTGGTGTGGAGGAGGGGTGGTGTGGTAGTGAGGGGGTGGTATGGTAGTGATGGGTAGGGTAGTGATGGGTGGTGTGGTAGTGAGGGGTGGTGGTAGGATGGTGGTGTGGGTAGTGAGGTGTGTGTAGTGAGGGGGTGGTGTGTAGTGAGGGGTGGTGTGGTAGTGATGGGTGGTGTGGTAGTGAGGGGTGGTGTGGTAGTGATGGGTGGTGTGGTAGTGATGGGTGGTGTTGTAGTGATGGGTGGTGTGGTAGTGAGGGGGTGGTGTGGTAGTGAGGGGTGGTAGTGAGGGGTGGTGTGGTAGTGATGGGTGGTGTGGTAGTGTGGTCTCTTCTTTATGTGTGAATGTATGTCTGTCGGTTCGTGGTGGATGGCGCGTGGGGATGTAAACAAAGTCAGTGTTGGCAATCATCAACGCCTGGCGGACCGTTTCGTTCACCTCACTTCGCCACACACACACACAGTTAGGAGTCACTGTTGATATATGAACACTGGGCTGCCTTAATGCTTTCATAATAATAATAATAGTAATAATAATAATAATAACAATAATAATAATCGTGATAATAATTTTTACAAACACTATCACACCAAAAACAGTGACGAATACATGCAATTCATTAGTCACACACAGGTAACCCACAGGTAATCCAGCTACAAGTATAATGTGTTACCTGTAGTGGTGACAGCCGCTTGATGGAGGGAGTGTGCGGATGTGTTGATGATTACATTGAAGGATGGAGGGAGTTTATAATGTGATAAGATTGTGTGTTTTATTGTTTTTCCCCCTTTAACACCATTACCTCCACGTTTATACCACCAAGGCTGGTCACACGCCTCCTTCCACACGCCTCATGTTCAGGTGATCCTAATATCAAGAGTCAAGTGGTTTATGAACTAAGTACAATATCCAAGATCTAATTAACCTGAGTTAAGTGTGTGTGTGTGTGTGTGGTGGAGAAGCACTTGTGTTCATCCGTTCAAAGGTGACGATTCTGTCTACTCTCCCCCTCCTTACCTTATCTCCCCCTTACCCCTGTACCTTCTTCCCCTCCCCCACACCGTCTTTACTCCCTTCCTCTCCCCACCATTCTTCTTTCTCCCTTCTCTTAGTATTTCTCTCTTCCTTTCAGACAAAACCTGAAGGAGTGATAGTATTTGGAGGGGTGGGGAGGTGGTGGGGGTGGGGGGTGGGGATAATGTTGGGGATGGGGAGGAATGTTGAAGGTAGAGAGGAGGGGAGGTTGGATGCCGGGGGGGGGGGGCTACAGAAGGAGAACAATGTGTAGACTTAATAAAATGGCGTTAATTTACTACTGTAATGTTTTGGGTTGTGGGGTTTATTGTCCCTAACTGTGTGAGGTATAAATGCTTCAAGAATATACAGTATGTTCTCTTAACCAATGGTAATACAGTAACTTGTGTTTTGTGCTGGTGTTATGATTTTAATTTATTGAGAGTAAAAATTCGTTGTTGCTTTAATATATACAGTATATGGCAGTTAGTATGTATGTATTAAGTGTTGTACTGTAGTGTATGTGTTTTATTAAGTTGGTATTGGTGCCCACAGAGCCTGGCTGAGGTGTTTCGCTGCTTCATCTGCATGGAGAAGCTTCAGGATGCCCACCTGTGCCCACACTGCTCCAAGTTGTGCTGTTACCTCTGTATTCGACGCTGGCTGACGGAACAGCGGCCCCAGTGTCCGCACTGCCGGGCCAACCTGCACCTACACGAGCTGGTCAACTGCCGCTGGGTGGAGGAAGTCACCCAGCAGTTAGACACACTACAGCAGGCGGGGGTCAGACCTCCACCTCCTGACACAGATAAAGACAAGTAAGTTTTATGTCCTTCTCTTCACCAGGACTATACAGTATATATGTACACAATACACTTTAAAAAGGATCTTTACAGGGGTCCAATAGATTTCAAAATGAACACTGCCATTTCTGTTGTTTTGGTAGGGTTGTCAAAATCCTTCATCCATTGTGTCATATTGTCTAGCACAAAATCGTAAAGATATTTTTTGGAGTGTTTGTGTACCTACAGGATTCAACTTAGTATACAGTAAATATATAAACTGTAAAGGTTAAGGAATCCTCTGACTTCATTTTATTTTAAAGATTCAGGAACATTGGAGAGTTTTTTTTTTACATAATCCAACTCATGTTTTCTGTGCAGATGTGAACGCCACCAGGAAAAATTAAGCGTGTATTGCTGGACGTGTGGGAAATGCATCTGTCACCAGTGTGCGCTGTGGGGTGGCACGCACTCAGGCCACACCTTCAAGCCCTTGGAGGAGGTGTATGAACAACACATAACACAAATCAGAGAGGAAGTGCTCCAGCTAAGACGGAGACTGCACGAGCTGGTCTCTCTGGTGCAGGAAGTGGTCAGTGACGCTAGATTTAACCCGTAAAATGAAATGGGATGTGGGTGTTTGTTTTGAATTACGGAATTTGATCTTTATGCCGTTCGTAGCATTGATGACCTTCAGTATTAGTATCTAGATTTTACTGACTATGATTTACCAAGTACAGAACAATACAGTATAGGTTTATAATTAGCCTTAGTCTCCCTGGCATTGAGTCTTAGTTGAGCGTTACACGTACAGCATATTTGCTCCATGAGACTGTGGTTGTACATATGACAATGTTTCTGTTATTGAGGCTCACAGAACTGAATTAGGACAAGCCTGTGAATGAAAAACAGAGAAAAATACAGTTAAAAGTTGACAAACCTTGAAATTACCATAACTTGGGAACCAGTGAAGTTATTGTAGTGATTTAAGTGGCAGATTAGAGCATTGTTAGTGTAGGTCTAAGCTATACTGGTGAAAGACATCGTATTTATTGTTTTCAAGCATATTGACACTTGTCCTTCATTGGTTCTTTGCCTCAATTGTTAGAGCAGGCATCTTATACTGTACTGTAGTTGTTATCTAATGTTTCCCACGTTTCATTAAAGCTGTTACGTGTATTATAAGTTGCTTTGATGACATTATACCGTGTAAGGGATCTGTTTCTGAGGAAGGTGTAAGAGCGTTGTGTTTTCCTCGCTGTTGCAGGAGAGAAACGTGGAGTCTGTTCGAGCCGCAAAGGACGAGAGAGTACGGGAAATTCGCAATGCTGTAGAATTGATGATCGCTCGACTTGACTCCCAGCTCAAGTCGAAGTTGCTCACACTAATGGGTCAAAAAAACTCCTTAACGCAGGAAACGGAGCAGCTGGAATCTCTGTTGCAGGAGATTGAACATCAGCTGCACACCTGTTCCAAGTAAGGGTTCAAATCAGCTGTTCACCCGTTCTATGTAAGGGTTCAAATCGGCTGCACACCTGTTGTAAGTAAGGGGTCAAATCAGTTGCACATCTAAGTAAGAGTTTGCCATGTATTTAAAATTATGTCAAGTGAAATTTATGAAGCTCTTGAAAATTAGGTCATGAATGGTCGAGTGTATAGTTGCGTTCAGCCATGGTAGTGACTCCCACACCACAAGACCTCAAGACCTCACATAAGCCAGCACCACCAATCATATACAGTACAGGTATAATACTTCCTGTAATGTAACAATTGTGAGTCGGTGTGATAAAAGGGTCATTTGTCGCCTTGTTACAGATCTGAATTGATCCAGCGCTCTCCAGACCTCCATTCCATGATCGCCCCGGTAAATAAAAAACCTATGGCCTCCTTCGTCACCGCCCCCGTACCTGCAGACTTCCAAAGGTGAGACGTAAATGCAATTTCCTCTCACAGTTATTGTAGGGAAAACTCTTACAAGATACTTTTTAGAGAGTATATCTAACCATCCTAACAGTAACTTAACTAACGATAGTACGTGGTTCAAGAACATCTACGTAATGAACGGGTAATATTTTAACAGTTACCGAACCACAAAAAAAAAAAAGACGTGTGGGACAGTTCATAAAAGCCTTCGTCTCTTCACATCATCAGTGTAATAACTTAATGGCCTGTTGATGGAAACCTCTAAGCTATTAATCATGGGATAAATGAAGTATTATTTATTTATTTATCTTTTATTACAGTGAAATAGTACCACAGTATGACAGCAGTACCTTCGTCATGAACAATTTCTCCCAGCTGCAACACAAGGCCGACCCCGTGTACTCCCCTCCCCTCCACGTCAACGGCCTCTCCTGGAGACTAAAGGTATGGCAAGGTTGTGAGAAAAGTAGACATTATACAAGAAGACGTTGGAACTGTATGTAGACTGAGGATATGAATGAGACATGTTTATTTTGTTATTTTATTTATTTGTTTAATTTGTCTTCCAGGTTTATCCCGACGGTAATGGTGTCGTCAGGGGTAACTATCTGTCGGTATTCCTGGAACTTAGTGCTGGTCTGCCTGAAACTTCGAAGTAAGCATATGAGCTGTGAGCCGTTCTTGAGTTTGTTTGCGTCGAGTCTTGCCTCTGTTGCTTATAATTATTCTCTCTCTCTCTCTCTCTCTCTCTCTGGTAATACTAAGGAGTGAGAGATTGGAAGAAGTGTCGAATTATATCAAAGGTGGATGGTAGAAGGGAGAGGAGGGAGAATCAAGAAGAAGACTAGAAGGATGTACCAGGAGTGATCAGGGAGTTCTAGGAGTGGTCAGGGTGTACTAGGAGTGGTCAGGGTGTACTAGGAATGGTCAGGGTGTACTAGGAGTGGTCAGGGTGTACTAGGAGTGATCAGGGTGAACTAGGAGTGGTCAGGGTGTACTAGGAGTGATCAGGATGTACTAGGAGTGGTTACATGCCGTTTCTTCCAGCTCTCTGTACGCTGTAATTAGAATGCCTATGTGGTCGTGCTGTATCTGATAACCGATAACTCTCTCTCGTCTCCCGTTTGTTCCGGCAGATACGAGTACAGAGTGGAAATGATTCACCAGGGATCAAGAGACGCCAGTAAAAATATCGTTCGAGAGTTTGCCTCGGACTTTGAAGTAGGAGAGTGTTGGGGCTACAATAGATTCTTTCGTCTCGACCTCCTCGCCAACGAAGGTTACCTCAACACAGAAACAGACACGCTAATACTCCGGTGAGGCCGAGAATTAGTTTATATCTTTGTTAATTGTCATAAGTGTTTTTGGTCCTTCGTGTTAATATACATGTGGAGGAAGAACAGACATTACGGATTTCTTACGCTTATATTTTCTCTGTTGCGTGAATGTGTTCTTTTTTATCTTGACGCAGGTTCCAGGTGAGGCCGCCAACGTTCTTCCAGAAGTGTCGGGACCAACTGTGGTATATTCACCAGCTTCAGACACTTCAAGCCCAGTATATCCAGCAAATAAATAACTTAAAGGAGGTATAGTCTCCCCAGTATACCCACAGTGGCATCACACTAAGCTAAAACATTATTTGTAGTCTAATTTGATGCCACTGAGTATTGAACTAGATTGTATACATAACTTGTCTTAAGACCTTTGGCAAATATTTGTATGGAATTGTACAGAGTAAAAGTTAACATCCCTCGACCACTGATCTTAGGAACCGTTTTGGCTTTTCCAACAGAGAATAGCGATTGAGCTCTCCCGGAATTCGGTGTCCAGCAGCAAGAACGTCAGCAACTCTGCCGGCTTTCCTCGTGTGGAGAGACCCCAGTCGTCCTCCCCTAAGCCAAATCCTGTAAATTCTCACCCACACCACCCTCATCCTCTACCGCAGACTAAGCCTCAGCGGAACCACCACGTCAACAAAAGCGTCGAGCCGGTGGAACTAGAAGCGGAAAGACAGTCGACCAGTTCTTCGGATACTGAAGTAAGTGCAGATGATGGCAACACATAAGTTTTGTATTAATGTTTAAAACTTTTATCCAGGCCAGCTTATAATCCTTCTGGTTTATCACCTTAATAACATATACAGTGCTAATTAATGTTTCTTGGTCATCCCATTTTTTCTGGCTTGTGCATTTTTTTTATTTATTTATAACTGGTCATTAATATTGTTATTAGTTGCCCGTTTTTATTTCATTATCTCTATAGGATCTAAGTGAAGGTGAGTTGAATGACCAAGAAGAAGGACCTGACCACAGCATTGCCACGGCCGAATACGCCAGCAACGACGAAAACGACGTTGACGACGAGACAATGAGCGGAGACAACGACGTGGAGCACTCGGCCGCCTCCTCCCTCCTGGCCAGCCTCCACGAAGCCTCCGCCCTACACGAGGGACCGCTCCTCAGCCACAGCGGATCTCACAGCTCCAGCTTTCTGTCCGACTTGGACTCGCTCACGGAACAGTTAGGAGCCGTCGGAAGGTTAGGGATTTGTACTCGGGTTTTCTCAGTTAATCCTAAATCCAAAGAGTCGGTCGTATATATGAGACACCACCTTCACTTATCAATGTACAGAGGACAGTGAATCAATAATACCTTAGTTTACATATCTCTGTGTAACTTTATTAATTTATTTTTTATTTGTCGTCCTGTACCAGCATTCAGCCAGATCTAAGTTCTCCCCAAGGTGATGAAATGATGCTGCTTCACCTATTAGAGATGCAGGGACGGGGAGCACCAGATCACCGCAGACCCTGGAGTAAACCCGGCCTGGGGGGCATAAGTGAGTGATGTGGCTTGTTGTTGTTGTTCTTCGTCATCACGGTCTTGTTCACTGGCGTTCAGAGGTTCGGTGTTAATCTACCTTTTCCTGCCTTGTAAATGAGGATTAACTGATAACTGAGTAGAATTTTGCTCAATCATTTCTATTTACTTGGCCCTCTTGGTATCTAAAGTGTTGACCACTCACCAACAACACTTTGGTAAATAATGAGGCCACGTCTTTGAGGAGTAGAGACCAGCCGATTTTATATCCATCTCTATATGATAAGACAAGGGTACAGTATATTGATGTCTTAGTTATTCAAAATTTCTGATCAGTAGCATTAATCACACCTTTCCTATTGACAGGTTCAAGACACAAGTCAAATCGGATGGTTCGCAAGCCACTTCTTCCCATTGCCTCGAGTGTGTTGGACACCTTACAGCTGGACATGGCAACACTGCTGCAGTCTAACTTACCGTCACACAATGGCATATCGTCACTGCAGGCACACACTGGTATCCCTGACCACGACCGTCCTGTTAGTCACCTACAACATCCACACCCTTTAAATAGTTCCAGTCCTCCTTTAAAGAGTGAGTTGTTGTTTTGCTCTGTCACTTGTCTCTTGGTATATCCAATAATGTTTTTTAAAGAAAACTTCACTCGGAAGATTACTGGTTTGCCAACTTACTGATTTTAAGAAACCTTCAGTGCCTGTCACATGTTTGTAGTGCAGTGTTAGTTAATATCACGCAGTTTGGTAATCCTTCCTACCTAATGACACTGACACAATTGATTATGTTGGTCCTGAGGATGCCTTTGGTTTTTGGCTTATTTAAAAACTGTCAGGTCAAGAGATTTTAAAATTTACATACTGGTGCAGTTAACATTTATCAAGGGATGTCAGTCAGAAAAACTTCCATGAACAATGATCCACTTGTGGTTGATCAAAATTTAACATTATCAGCGTGTGTGGTCTGTTAGTTGATGGGTTTCCACTGAGAAAACTAAGTTCCTGTAGGTGAGCAGTCTCAGGCCCAGGAGGTGGTATACATACATCAGACAATGGATGTGTCAGTTCCAGTCCCGTCATAACCACATACAGTGAATATACTTAAGTATTTTCATTTATTTGAATTCCCTCTTTTAGCTCAGCAACCTTGTGGAGCTGAGCTTATGTCATCATGGCTTATCCGACCCTCGTCCGTGCGACCATCGTTAGACTCCACCTTGTATACGGCCTACAGTCCTAAAGGTTTGACGTAGCTTCAACAACTTTACCATGAATCATCTCAGGGTGAAGCTAAACAATCGTCATGAATTAATATCTACTTGGATTCAAACTCCTCATAATGATCATCTTGAATTCGTCAAGTGTTACAATATGGTGGAGCTTTTAAGACCACGCTCTGCAGGTGTATGACACTATTAGATCTTTGTTATTATTGGTTTAAGGTATTGAGCATCTCACCTGGGCTTTCCTCCTCTTGTGATGTCATGATATGTTTTCTGGTTGACTCCCCTTTTAAGTCATTGCTGCCTGTTATCGATATTCTTTTATTATTATTATTATTATTATTATTATTATTATTATTATTATTCCATTTCCAACTTCCTGGGATGGAATAGAAGCACCAGAGACTCTTGTATGCAGAGAGCCTCACGATAACTACAGAAATATACTACCAGGGTGTAATTTTATCTCGCAACTTAATTCCTACGCCTCGATAACCAGCCACACTTATTAGTAATACTCATTAAATCTTCTTTTTTATTTTCATTGACCCATCAGTGTTACACCAAGTTAGCTGTAATGGGAGATTTGCAGGAGACTTTTGTGATTTCGCAGGTGGGTACCGGCCGCCACTAGCCCCACGGCCTTCACTCTATGGTCACCACTTGACGGATGATGCCAAGAAAGAGGCGCATTCTGCCGCCAATGTTGCCGATAAGGTAAAGAGAGATTCTGTTTACGTTCACGAGAGATTTTTGTGATTTCTGCTTGATAAGCTTCCAGAGACTGTATTTATTATATCTTTTAATAAATTGTTTGTGTCACATTTTATACTTGAGATAACATAGTAACTCCCTATAATGTGGATATAATTCAGTAAAATGGATGGCACTGGACTGATATATGGTATAAAAGGGAGAGAAATAGTGTTGTGTGGATGTTGTTGTGTATCCTCCAAATCACAGTCACTCTCAAAAGTCCTGTCGCCTCTCCTGAACCACGAACCCCGAGATTCAGATTCGTGGACCCGAAGCCGTAGACACTGATGCAGTATTCTGTCCATAAATGCTTCGGGTTCAAGAGTGAATCTCAGGGGTTTATGATTCAGTACAAACTACAGGTCTTTTGTGGGTGACTGTACAGGTAAAACACATTACTGACAACACCTTGAGATGTATGTAGGTTTGATGTTACAGTATTATGGTTTACACACACACACACACACACACACACATACACACATGGTCTCTGTTCTGTGTAAAATCTGGATCAAATTAAGCATCATTTGATCATTAGCAAGATTTATAGGTGCTTTGTGTGTTTCCTCTGTGTATTGGATACTTCTTCATATCAAAATTTCCTTCATGATATGTCTTCCTGACCAAAGGAGATATTTGAGATCAAGAGAAACCAGATGTGTTCTGTTTTCTGTATGTTAGTTGACTCCCCTCTAAGTCATTAAGGCCTGTGTTTTATATTCTTTTATTCTTCCATTTCCAACTTCCTGGGATGTAATGGAAGCACCAAAGAGACTCACATATGCAGAGCCTCACAAGAACTTCAAAAATATACTACCAGGGTTTAATTTACTCTCAGGTTATGTAGTTCTTAGTTAAGATTTAAGTTGGGTACCATATTAGTGTTTACATTCCAGGATTTGAGTGAGTCATCTATGTGTGACCTGTCATTGGATCCTGTGTCACTGTCTGATATGACTCTCGAGGAGGGACCCTTGTCTGGAGCCGAAGAACCAGAGTCGCTGGGGGCGTCGGCTGCAACGACCGCCACTTCGTCGTCCGCTGGAGGAGCTGCGTCAGCGGGAGGACAAATAGCCGGAGAAGGGGAGAGTGGCGTCAGCAGCGACAACACCAGCGGCTATGTCAGCGACGGCGGAACAGAGGTACCTTGCATCCCCGCCCTCAACACTGCAAGGCTCATCGCACGCATGAAGTAAGATCACTACCACCTCATAGCCATCAGCTCAACACTGCTCCTATGTCAATCAACATACCTCTTTTTGTAGGGCTCAGCGGCTAATTGACAGTTCCAAATTTTTGTGGGAGATGAAACGTGCACACAATTGAATTTGAGCTTGCGGTGGTTGACTCACTAAACTTAGGTTTCACATGCACTTGTCTGTGTACACTGTTGCAGAAAGAAGTAATTGATGCACCAGCTTAAGCAGACTACTGGGGAGTCCAGGAAGACTGACTCACATGCTGAAATGTTTTCTTTTTCTTTTTCTCTTTTAGCTTTGGCTGTTTTGTCCCCTATTTCTTCTTGTTATTACCAGGAGGAAAAATATGTTGCTTTAAAACGGCTTTCATATTGAAGTACATTTCCTCACCTCACTTTTCAAAATTGTTTTTTTTTTTTTTAAATAAATGTTGTACAGAATTTTCTTGTCATAATTTATTGGCATTCAATGATAAATGTAAAATTTATGGTGAAGTGTAGCTTTGTAATCATGATATATATGTTTGGTTGCCCCATTTCATAGGTTCTTTTTGTTTCATGCAACCCATAGGTAGACAATTCAGGTGTGTAATTGCCTTGTTGGGTATGAAAGTCTTAGTATGTAAAGGTAAAACTGCTTGTTGCATGTTTCAAGTTGCAGTAGTAAATGATAACTCCTGTCATTGCAGAATTTTTTAACCCTCTTAGTGTAGAACAGTAAAGTAAGTAATCTATTACTCCAAACAATTTCTAATTCCTCTTTCTCTTTAAAAAAAAATCAAATAATACCTTTAATGGCTGTTTATGAGACCCTGCATGTTAAAGATTTGACTTCTTTGATGTGAGCTGCTTCACCATAACATATTGTGGGTGGCCTCTTCAGTACTGCTGTTTGCTGTGGGGAAGATGGCACAAGGAGACCCTCACTAAATTGGTGAACCCTCATATGGTTTATCTTCAGATAAATCACTGTAGGTTGATCAAAGTTTGTCTTGTAAACTCTGTAGACACAATTTTATTTTTATATAAGATTATTAGCTACTTGTCATTTCTTTGTACATAATATCTTTTAACTTCATGCCCAGTTACACCCCACACTCGCTCGACATATTACGCTTAACCCACTCACTTTTCACAAACAAGTATCCTTCCACTCACTTTTCACAAACGAGTCTCCTCCCACTCACTTGTTCATGCACTCAATTCTGTGGCATTGTGGGCTACACCCGAGACATTTGCTGGCATTATCCACCTCCTCCACATTGTACATAGGCCATGCTAAGATCTTATCCCACATCCACACGATTGTACCATCGGCATCAGGCATTCATTCTCTGGCTTGGTAATGATTTTTTCTCTGTACTCTTCCATCGGGTCCCTGTCAATGTATTTTTCCAGTAGCAATTTGTTCTGCACGTTGGTTTATATCTTACTTTCTCCATCTCTGCATTTCGGAAGCCGGTACCAATAAATTAGTAGTGATGATGCAGTACAGACTTTTAAGTGTGTGTAGTTATTGAATTGACTGCCTTAAAACCAGTCAGCAACTTGCAATAAATATATAACTTCAGGAGAATATTGTGCATGTTAGGTAGTGGCTGCCAAGGTAACTCTTGTGTTGCTTTGCTTGTGGTATGTACTGTTGCCCTTTATTTAGTATACAGCACTTTCATACATACCCTGTTCCAAGTGTGTTAAAGATGGTTTCAATATCTAGGCATGCTAATTTATTATTTTCTCAATAAAAACCAGAAAGTTGATTTTTTTTTTTTATATATAAATGAATTGAAGTACTTGATACTGTATTGTATTGGCTTATTGTACCTTGGAAACTGCTGTTGCTTTGTTTATGGAATGATATGAAGGTTAAGAATGTAGTACTATCACATATATTTAAACATTACATTGTTGGTTTAGCTGGCTGTGTGGTCACCTTCTGTCCATCAATTCTCTCTCAGAAATAATCATAATTGACTTTAGATTTTCGGATGTATGTTTAGGTAACGTCGTCATATGGTAGTGATAAAGTACCCGATATTTTTCTTAGTTTATGTGGCAGCAAGAGCAAAGTACTCATGTGTGAGGAAAGTGACAGATATAATGTACTCTACATCATTTGATTGGAAAAAATTTGAGAAAGATAAGAATTTCAAGCAGTACTCGTAGAAAAGCAATTGCCGTTGTCAATAATTTGGTTACAGAGACCTTCTTCACTGTCTGGTACATTATAACTGCTCATAAACTGTGTACTATCCTGATGATAATGAATCTGTTTGAATGTACAGTACTTCAGATTAGACTCACAAAGGCAATATCATGGATCCTGATTTTGTTTTTCAAATTTTTTTAATATGGATTCATTGACAGGCTGTTGAGCATGTTTACTTACAACAGAATGTTTATTTACTTTATTTTATCGAAAATATTACAGTAATTTATTTGTTAAGTGGAATTTAATAAAGTTTTTGACATCATTTAATTCCATAATTATTTTACAGCAAAATGGCAGAAACCAAAGGAAGTGAAAAGGCGGGTTGGGCCGCAGCAGCCGCAGGTCTCCCGTTTACCCTTGGCTTTAAAATGCCCGCAGAGAAGCACACCCAAGATAAAGCTCAGGACAAAAACAGGGACAAAGACGATAAGAGACCCACTAAAGACGACAAGTGACAGAAAACTCGACGTTAACCTCAAAACAACAAGTGATCCCGAGGGTTTCAGATCCAAATAGTTACCTTGTTTATATAAAGCTTGTAAAGATAGAAAATTAAGTGAAGTAAAAATTCTCGCTGGCCTGCATGGAATAATAGATTAAGTCCAGAAATTATCTGTCTCTCAGCTTAGGTATGACTTAGTGATGAGGCACGACAGGTGAAGTAATACAGTAATCTCATAATTATAAAGTGGTCATAATAAATGGCATAGCTTTAGAGAAGTAATCTTAAGCTATGAAAGTGGGGTTAAAAATTTGAACTGAAAAAATATATATGGTGTAGGTTTAGACACAAAGGCTCACTGTCTAATGAAGGTAAATATAATTTGTATATTCTGTAAATTATTATTTTTTATTTATTTTTGAAGTTGGTAGTTTATTAATTTCATTGTTTGACAGTCTGAGCAATTTACAGAAAAATAAAGTTGTTTTTTAATGTAAATCAGTTTTAAAATGAAACACATGTTTGAGTTACTGACTTACTGAAAGTTATTTCTCTTGCAGTTTGTGTTCCTCTAATACAAAGAAACTAATGGTGAAGTGAGTTAGTATATAATGATTTATATTTCCTCTGTTGTAAGTGATATAATTATAACCACAAATTCAAGTGTCGTCTTTATTTCAGGCTGGAATAGAATGTTGTTTAAAGACCGTTGATATTATAATGGTTTATGTGTTGTGTCCTCGGTAAAATAGATTCCTGCTGATGTGTCTGTCCTTCTCTGTGGTTTTTATGTTGTTGTTATGAAGACACTTAACACATTCACCTATATTTACAAAGGAAGAAGAGGAGAATCAGGATATCACGTTGGGAGTCATTACTATTTATTATCAGCTTTCCTCACTCCCCCGCCTTTGCTGTCATCAAGAACCTACAAAATTTACATCACATATTATTCCCAATTCACCCTTCCATTGTGATCTCCAGGAGGTTATACTAAGCAGAACTATTTGACATTTTTGGGCAGTTGTTGTTATACAGGTAAGTATATAATGAATTCACACCATCTTGCAAGTGCGTGTGTTTGTGTGTTCGCCTGCCTGCATGCATGCGGGCATGTGTGCGTGCTCGGCCTCACTCTCTCACCACTTCAGGGCAGCCAATCATCCATCAGTCAGAACAATAACAGACTACTTCTATGGATTTACAATTGTTATAATAATGTTCCCTGATAGCAACATCCTGTTAAGAAGACGTGTAAAATACTTGTGAATAGTGTATTGTTGTAGTTAATGTGTGGGGGCAGTACAGCTAGAGTCTTCAGATAAATGCATTTCAGTAGGATGTAAAAATGAATTCAGTTTATTTATACTGTAACTAGGAATTGATCTGATTTGAATTTATGGTAAACTTAATTTCTTCTCATGTGGAGAAAAGTTAAACTGTTGAATTCAATTAGTAACAGTAGAATCACAAGTTATATACAGTACGTACATTATTGATGGTGCTTAAACCTGAAGTTAGTAAGCTGTCCCCATATCTTAGTAGAGGCAGTCCTCAAGTTATGAACGCCCGCACTTATGACTGGGATCCCAATATATTCATCACAAAAATCTGAAACTAAAATACCATTTTTTACATTACTGCATATTGTTTAACATAACTTCATATACATTATTTATAATGTACGGGATACTATTGTTGTTTTGTGTAGTCGGGGCTGTGACTTAACGTAACCTAAACTATGGAGTAAACGTCTTTATGACCTACGAATGGGGTCCAGGAACGTAACCCGTTCATAACTAGGGGACTGTCTGTATTCTTTATAAAGAAATTTAAGTTAATTGAGAAGAAAATAGTTATGGTAAACAAATTTCATTGTGTTGGTTTATGTAAATGAAAAAGGCATACACTATTCGCAATGAAGCATTTGATATACTATATGGCATTACCGATGTACCATTTCTTCTGAGGATTCAGTCATAAAATGTAATCAGTCATTTCTGTTTTTGAAAGATTGTTAAACAATGTACACTGCTCACTTAAAAAAAAAATCTTGATAGCTGTTACAAAGATCTACCGTACACAGAATATTTGAATCCATATCAATCATCAAATAATTGTCAGTTCCAGAACTAACTTTTACTTTTTTATAAAAGCCTTTATTTTTTGTGTGAATGTACAAATGCTTTTCTTACGTTCCCTAGATGTTGCTTTATTAATTTGATGTCTTTTGTACCAGAAGAATATTATTTATTTTAGACATCTTAGAATAAAATTTTTATAGCATGTTAATGTGTAATTAATTTTCCTGGAAGAAAAAGGTGATTTTCCAGTCACAGATGCTTTAAAGTTCAAGCCATAATCTGAAAAATATTAACATTTTGTTAAAAACCTCCATTTGAGTACTCCTTGACCTGCTGATTAAGGATCTAGGGTACACAAGTTCAAATTTCAATACTGTATTCCTTATAAATCCGGATTTTGGAAGATTTGGACAAATAATTTGGGGGTTCTGGGCTAAAGAAGTCTCCCAGAAGCAGAGCAAAGAACATTTTAGGCCCGTGGGCGCTGGTTGGGCAGTTGGTCGCACTAGACACAGGTGCCCGAGGAGGTGGGAAACATAAACAGTTGACAATTGTTTGTGGGAATATTTCGGTCGCTCTAGTGACTCGTCTCACGTCCAGAAATGCCCCAAATTACATCATATCATAGTAAGTTCTTTCGGTTTAATACACCAGAGGTAGGAAATTTAAGTAAGGTTAGGTAGGCTAGGTTGCTTAGGTCTGTTTTTCATACCCACTAAGGTTAGGTTACATTTATTTTAGAAATAAAACTTTTTTAACACATTTGCACAACCTACAACAATGACCATTAAAAAAACAGTGAAATTGCGGTGTTTTTAAAATAATTTATGTGATATAAGTACTGTTTAAAGTTTTGTTAAAATATATAAACTTTTTGGTGAATATCTTACAAGTATTACAACAAGAAAACTATAAAAAATATATCAAATTACTAGGTATGGGTCACAGAAAACAGAGACTTGTAAATGTGGCCAAATCTTAGAGTAGTGTGTTAGTAAAATATGGGTTAACATGCACAGTGGCTCAGAAGATGGTGTTTTCTCCTCTCAGTGTTGAATGTTGTTGTGATTACCCCTGATGTACTGTAGAGAAGCTTGACAACACAATCCTAGATATGTCTCAAGGTTAGAACTGTACTATTTCCATATAACATTGTATTATAATGCTGATTAATATGAGACAATTAATCTAGGTTTGTTATTTAATGTATACTGCTTTTAAATGAAGAGTTACCACTGACTCCAAAATGGATTCTTCATTGTGCGTGAAAAACAAAAATGTTGTCAAGGTTATAAATCAATTTTCTTCTCACAGATGAAGTACTTCTCACTTGTGCACGGGTCTGCCCCGGCACGGAACCTCCACCAACCGTGGAGGAACAGGCAGCGTTCATCGTTGCCCAAAGCGTCGCCCGGTTCTCCCCGCCCCCAGAAGTCCACTTGTGTGCCGACCGGAATGCCAGACACCCACTGCCAAGTTCCATTGGTGTCGAGGGTTCCACCGATCCAGAATCCCCAGCCTCCTGAGGTCGAATACACAGATTCTGATAGGGCAGGATTATAAGACGACACATTCAATAAGATTAACTTGTTTATAAATACAGTATTAAGTTTACAAGACACAAGGACAGTTTTCAGTATAGTCCCCATATTCATTATTTCATTTGTTAACTTATTATTTATGATCTTCACCTCATTGGAGAGAGAGAGAGAGACTCATGTTTATGTCAACTGAGCTCATGGTGAACATCCGGGCAGCCTAAACTGAGGTGCATGATCATAAATGAGATGCAAGGAAATTACTAGATAAATACACCTGTAATACTTACCTGGGAAGGAATCGTCAAGGAAAAGAACTATATCGTACAAGTCAAAAGGGTTGGCCAGGTCACCGTCGATACCCCTGCAACAGACACCCGAGTAAGAACATTGTCCTTCTGACTCCTCATGATGACATAAAGAAAAAAAATGGTACTGTACTCTGGTATACAAGGAAATGCTACTTGATGTTTAAATATAAAGCCTTGAAATATTAGGTTAAAAAAAATCTTAGTAGACGATCAAGTCTTATCAGAGAAGGTCTTTGTGTGAACGTTTAGTTAATAGTAGTGTTTTACCTGCAGTGGTCCCGTGCTTGTTGCCAGGAGAGTTGTTGCGTAGAGTGGACGGTGAAGCAGCCCAGACCGATGCGTGCATATGGGTGCGGACAGTCCACAGTTTTACCTGAATAATATTTTGGGGGGTTGTAGAGCGTGTAAAAGCTACACTGTACAAGACAGAATTAACTTTTATTTTGATGTACACAAATCAGATAGAAGTCTGTTAAAACGTACTGAGTGTTAGTGAGACAAGCCAGACAGATTTTTTTTATTGTATGGCCAAAACTTAAAGGGGCAATGTAGGTACAGTACACTCATATATTCTGTATAATAATACTAAAAATTAATATTACTACAGTACTGTACAGTATATTCATTAATAGGCTATGGAGACACTGAAACATATACAGTACAGTATATTCATTAATAGGCTATGGAGACACTGAAACATATACAGTACAGTATAGTAAATAACCAAATATAAAAATCCCCCAACCTTCCCAAAACACTTGCTGTCAGAAACAAGAGACAAGATGTTGGTGTTAGTAATAATTATAAATAGTCCTGCTTAATACCTTGTGGGGCATCAGTCGGTGGCGAGGATGACGTGGTGTCCGGTGAAAGCTGAGGTCTTCTGCCTACGGTCCTCCTGAGGGTCGTGAGGCCGGCCGTGTGTCGGCTCACTGTCTGCTCCAGCCCCTGCAAGCTCCGCTGGATGCTCCGGATCACCTTCCCTATTGGTCCCTCTCCACCTTGTCACCTAACTCTCTTTTGGACTTATTTATTAGATAACCTCATGAAAACATAAGTTTGGCTACTTTCCAACTTCATTCTTTTGTATCAATGAAACTGTTAATTTTGTTAGTTATCTATTAAAATATAGATTATAATTGAAGAGACCTGGGAACAGTTTTTGAAATTCCAAGTCTTGTTGTAGTATGGATGAGAAACTGATGGAAGCTTTAGAGTGGGAAGAAAGATGCACAGAAGTATTGAGTGAAGAGTAATAATTAAAATACAAAAAATGGGTCCCTGTCAAAAATAGTCAGGAAGGTAAGTGTGTTGTTCCCACTTCTCGGGATGTTTATGACCAATTGCATGGAAGAAATACAAAGTTGAGAAGGATTGATGCTTTTCTAATAAAAATGAGACACTTGTTATCACATAGTAAACAAAATCTCCATATTGATGACGTTGAGATGGAGAAAAATAAGATGAAACCCACCAAGACGGGGGAAGATAATGTACAGTACAGTATCTTATCTACAAGTGATCGCTGGCCCTTCGTGCCCGGCGAAAGTTTGAACGCTCGTGCTTGGCGAGGGCGAATGAGGGTGCGCCAAGTCCGTAGACTTGCATCGTTTTCCAGCGTAAATAAAATGGTTAATTAATGCCCTCCTAAAGAAAACATCGACATGGGACCAGGTTTGTTCCACTCTACCAGAGTGTAAACTTTACCAGAGTGTAAACTTTTATGAGGAAAATTAAATTATTTATACAGTAGAGAAGTTTCTTCCTGGTGTTACTTGGCTAAACAAGACTATTAAGTGAGTGTTACTTACCCAGACTGTTGGTGCGGTCAGTTGCCCCTTTTACTTCTATAGTGACCTCCTGGGCTGCCACCTCTGACTTCTGCAGGCCAGCCTTTACCTCCACCTCCATTCGTCTGAGGTGATTCCGCCACGTCTGTCAGCCACAAGGTCACCAAAGCTCATAAGGTAATTAAAATCAATAAACCTTAGTGATGGTCAGTTTAAAACTGATAATATGTTCCATAAATTTATTTGTCAGTGGCCCAAGGTTAAAAATGCTTTGAAAACCTTTAATCTAGATGTATGATAGTTATTAGTGGGTCCCTTATTTTTGACCTGACCTGACTAGTCACGTCACCCCCCTTCTCTTAAGCTCCTCTTCGTGTGTGTTGGTGTGGGGATTAGTGGATGACATCATTATGACCTGACCTCATATTTTATAAGGTCACCCTGTATATTTAAGCCTCTCTCTGTCCATGTAATCCAGTTGCCTGAAGATGTCTTGAATAAAGACGAAAGCTAAGGTGCTCCGTTGTTTCCCTTTTCCTGTGTGATTTTATCAAGATGTGTATATATATATACATCTAATAAAAAAGTGAAAACCCAAGAGAACATACAGTACAGTACTGCACTGTACTTAGACATCACTTTTAATCATGTAAGTGTAAAGACAATCTACTACAAGTAAGGGCAACACATCACTGTTGCACTTGGTACTGTATAGTACAGCGCCACAGTGTAAGAGCAGCAGAGCGGGGAAGAGACCAACCTGACTCTCCTCCCTCAGGGTGTGAAACTCCATCCTCAGGTCCTGGATGGTGCGCCTCTGTGCTCGTTTGGTCTGCTTCTCAGTCTCCAGTTCAGTCTTTAGTGCTAACAAGAGATGATTCTGGGCGCTTTGTGCCCCAGTTACAGATGTTAATGTCTCCTTCAATGACTCTGTCTGGGCCAGCAGGGACCGTACCACCTGTACACAGCATGGACAAAAATTAATCGCTATACAGGTATGTACACTTAGTAAAATAAACTCTTTCAGGAGGGGTCCAGTGAATTTGAAACTGAACAATCCTGGTAAGCCTAATTCAGTTATTTCATTCGAAAAAAGTATAAAATTAATTGTTGCAATATGATTGATGAATAACAGTGCAGTATGCCTCAGGGGCTTTTATCAAAAACCTTGCGTTTGTGGTGTCATTTTGTTTTGTACAAGAATTATAATGATAGTTTCTTCACCGAGTCTACTCTCAGTCACTTCACTAACCCCTACATCTTAGCTACAGTTTTCTAGGGTTGTGTATTGTACAGTTTGTACTAAGTGTAGTGGACGGGAGGCAGGGTACCAGTCTAGGGGGGCTGTCAGCCTGTCACCTTGTAGTGGATTTCTCCCCTACAAACGCTGTTTGTCGCTGGCTAGCCGACCCCGCGAATTCCCCAGTGTATGCCTCGTGGTCTGGGTCAACCAGCGCCGCCTGACATGACGGAGGTCAACTATTAAGCCACGCCTACCTCCGCTATATAAGACCTGACCTGGTGGTGAACTATCTCTTTTGACCTACACCAACCAGCAAGCAAATCCTCCTCCTCCTCCTGCCTGGCGGCCCTCGCTCCCGCCGGCGAGCATGGCGACCCACAAGCTAGTCCTCTGAGCACCCTCACCAACCAACTTTCTCTACATCACGCTTGTAACCATGCTGCCTTCCCAGCACCAAGCTGCATTGTACATACAATACAACATGTATACAGAGAGCACATTGTGAGTTTCCTTTCTCCATCCCATCCTGAGTGTGAACCAAACATCCCATACCCCACAACCTCACCTCACTATGTTGTTGCAGCACTTGTGTCATCGCCTCAGTCTGGCTGCCAAATATCTGACGTCTTGTGTTTCCTGTAACATGTACAATTGAATAAGCGTCAGTAAACATTGTAATCATAAGAATATGTATCATCTGAAGATTCACCCCCAGCTTATTTCATCTGATGATTGGCCACCATGACTCTACCAGGGTGGGGAGTTTGGTTTTCATCAAGGTAGTTACTCTTCAGGTGGCATAAGCAGGGGGCGAATATTCAGGTGATCCAAAATACTACTAATAATTATATTAATGTTAATTATAATAATAAAGAGAAATATAATACTGAGTAATAATGATAATTAAAAATATTATAATACTGATGCTTAGCACGTGAGCGAGGACCCAATAGTGGTGACCATACTAATTTCGTGCAATAGACAGACTGGCATCCATTACCCGTACACAACATGTCTTAAACAATGTTTTCCGTGTGTATCACTTCTTTTGATATTGAAACAGTTTATTTAGCTAGAAGAACACAGATACAGAGTCGAAAAAATATATTAACATGACTGAGCCAGTGAGAGCCTGAGCCCTCTCTTGTAGGCACCTGATATATACTGTACATTTATCTCATGGAAATGTTAGGTAACACTTAGTATCAACTGGAATAGTACACATAACATGGTGGTAATAAGAACATATCAGTATGTTACCACGCTTATCACTTCGATATTTATTTTATTTATTTTTTACATTATAATATAAGTATATACATACTTTACAGTGGAGTTGATATACATACATATGATAAGGGAGGGAAGCAGTACAGCATGGGTTGTATTAAGGCGGAACAAGAGGACAGAGCTGATGTCTAGTCGGCAAATATATTCATTGCAATGATAATTTCTATCTATCTACGTGATAATTTCTGATAAAACGGTTTTTGTGGTACAATAAAAGCAGGAATATAAAGTAGGTATTACAAGAACTATTTGTTTAATTTAAATGTAAATCGCGCGCCGCAGAATATGAACCAAAGGACCACTGTTTACACACCAGTGATTAAGGAGATAACACAAGACACTGAGTCGGATGAAACAAACAAAACTTTGCTATAACGGCAGACTAGTGTTCATGACTCAACAATTTTTTTCTTGCCCCCACACCCCACTCCGTGACCGTATTATTATGTCGTTCTCCAACGTGCATGATGAATGCTATAACACAAAAAATTCTTCAAGCATATTACCTGCACAGCTACCGTCAGCTGAAGCGAGGACGTCTTTGATCTCCCTAAGAACGGTGGTGAGCTCCCCAGGACACGTGAGGTCGTCAGCCAGGGGGGAAATTTCTGCCTCAGTGCTCCCCCAAAATACAGCGAGCAGCGCCCCTGGCAGCAAGGCGGCCCACACTCTGGCCATGTCGTAGTTGGATGACGATCACTGAGCCTACGCCACTACACTACTGCTACACCACCTGCTCAAGGTACTTGTGCTTACACTGATAACAGTACAGTATCGATGGTCACACCAAAGATATCTCAGGTGATCTTTTCAGCCTATTTTTGGCAGAACCTTTTTCAGATCATGTGAAGATTAGGTACCCAAGCGTATTTCACCTAAATATTAAACACCTTACTGTGTGGTGCCCTGATGAAAATTGTCTTAACTCTCACATCCTAACACTTGCTGTTATACATTAAGTGTCCAGGTTAAGTGGCTAATATAAATGTATGAAGAGGTGAAGAGGATAAAAGTGTAAAAGAGTATGGCGTAACATGTACACGCACAAGACTAAAGTACGTCGAAGTACAGCAAAGTCGTTAGAATACTACAAAGTGACCTTGGGGTAGACGAGGAGCACTACCTTACGAACTTGCGACAGCAGTTGGCTGGGGATGGCCAGTCTTATTCTTAGGTGTGTCCAGGGACTAGAACAGGAGTCTGAAGTACTTAAGCCTCCACACGTCACTACGCTTCTGTAACGACTGTGTTGCTGTAGGGGCGGTGTTGGAGGTACACCTTTATTGAAGTTGTTTCTCACCACTTTGACTCGAGTTGGAAGCCTGCATGTGTGACCCAGCTGAAGATGGCTTTCTCTTGCACTAACAGAGGACCCATGTGATCCGGCTCTCACTAGATCTGTGGGTAGGTCAGCTGTCTAGTTTATAAATCTAAATAAAAATCCAACCATGGAATATTCTGGTCCCGCCAGCCTCACTAACCTACATACCACCCTTGTGTTATAGTGGCAAGGGTGTGCCAGTTGTATATGGGTACCTGACTTTACAGTTGAGAAGTAAAGGCGATCGAGTGTTGGCCAGCCAAACAGTCTTCTCCGCCCACATCACATCCAACCACTCACACTACCTCCACCACCCATACTTCAAGTCGCTGACAACAGTTCCTTCAGCTTAATTTAGGAACACCCTGACTGACGTACCCTGACAAATATAAACTGTACTATGCTTGCGAGTGAAGATGGCGTGAGTTAGCACAAGGAGGAATGCATGTTGACGGCCGGGTGCACCACAGCTCTGTAACATATTATAAGCATACATATGACACTTGTCTATGGGTCCACCTTTTGTACACAGTTACCCTTAGTGGTGATAACAAATTTAATCAGTTGAACGAAACACCATGTGACACTATCTTGGTTTTATCACCTTATTAGATCAAGAAACATATATCAGAGCAGCACGCACAACACACGTGATATTAACCACTCAACCAGCATAAACGACGACTGCCACGGGCCTATCACGTGGCTCTCAACAAGCACAACCACTCTCAAGGCTACGTAATGTAGTTGGTAACATCAATTTATAATAGATTGTCAACTTATTTTTATCAAACGTTAGGGTTTTGAAGGTAGTTTTATCTTAAATTTTAACAGAATTAACCTAAAGTATCCTAATTCACCATGGGACGGATCATACAAAGCTACATTAAAGATTACACAGGCCTCAGATTTTGACGTCTTAGAAAAAAATGCAATACTGTGGACGGTAAAACAAATAATTACTCACGAAATTTACGTGAAATAAGCAGTATATATAAAGGGGCGAAGACAATAAGATATAAAGACCCATACCTGTAGAAAAGGTTGATCGAGTTTGCTTCAGGTTAAATGTTCATACACTGTCATGCTTGTGTTGGGGTTGACACCTCTTGGGAATTCTGAAGCATCACGTGTTATCAAGGGTTATGAATAGCTCCATTTCCGGATTTAATGATTGTCTAGAAATAAATGGGGCATATTTATATTTTTGTCAGGTATGAAGTTATAATGAATAAAACATTTACGTTGCATATATATTGAGGACAATCGATAACACACACACAAAAATGTAGAAATTATATTAACTGTATATTCCCAGCTGAGACTATCAAGAGATGGTCGCTCCTAACAACAGCTCTTATATAACTCGTCCTCAGGATATAAACGGATACGGCCTTACCAACGCCTGTATAGATCAGTTATAAAAATATGTATGCTATCAATTCTTAACAATCGTATTTGAGTAATGGTTTATTATAAGGTCGTACCCTCAAAATGGTTTAATTTTTTTCGGGATTTTAATTAATATGTATGTTTTAACGTATTGAAACGACCAACACCCCTGTGCCTTGAGTGATAAAAACTACCCATTTAGCTCTGTTTATAGTACTCAGCACTGCCAAATTAGCACCGTATCTAGCACTACGGCTCATTCCTGCAGTAGTACCCGAAGTTCACCTGTCTTTAAATGGGGAGAGATTTTTCAAAGTTGGAGAAGTGAAGGTGGCTTAAAAAAATGTATCTCAAAGGATTCATGTTAATTGTATCTTCATTGCACTATTGGACCCTCTATCAACTACAGTATTTGTTCTATAATTATCACTGGTAGATATGTTGGTCTGGATAAAATATTTCTATGTTTTTATCCCTTACACATCTTTATCTTCTCGTCATCAAACGTTATGGTGTAAAAATGGAAGAACTTGTATTGATTATATATACAGATTCAACAAAGGTGGAGAAAACTTTTACCCCCAATACTCCTCTCAACCAAGTCATATTATCTTGAGTGACAGCACATATTAGATGACCCGGGGGAAGACAGTATAATATGGCCCTGTGGCATGGGTTAGGTCATCGCCTGGCCCCGGCAACCAGCCACCTTCACTCTTTTGGAGGTTAAATCACCACTAGACGGGAGTAAATTTTAATACAGTATACTATTTGTGATATAATTTGCAGTGAGGTATATTAGATGTATAATGATGAGTTTATAATTATAGGTATAATCTTAAATGACATGTAGTGACAATCAAATATATATTTTTTTTTCTCATGGTTGGCTGCCTTCAATACTACGGTCTGGCTTGGGCTTACCTTGGAGTCAAATAAAAGCAAAAATATAATCCCTCGTATATCAAACCATTAATCTTCATATAAAATGAAAACTATGTACTTGTCTCCTATAATAAATGATATCACTTGGAACATAAGATACTTTAAAGGTGGTGTAACAAGATTTAAATGACATCAAAACGAAGTGACTCTCAGCTGATATAAATGACCTCTGATGAAATTTACTGTGATGTTTTTCCATAGTTTTGCAATGTCAATCATTTAATTCAATTGAGAAATATATAGATTTATAGTTTATTATTTAAATGTTATATTCATGTATACAAATAGCGTTAATATGTATAGTTGTAGGTGTAAAATAATAATAATTGGAGAAATATTGAGGATATGAGGGAGTTGGTAATACTGAAAGAACAACTTGTGGGTGTGGAGGTGCCAGAGTGAACCAGTGTGACTCAGTGTAACTATCAGTGTTGTAAGGGAGAGCAACGTCACTCCTCGTGTAAGTATTTGCCAAGAAAGAGAGGATGGGCAACTTTATTATAGTATATTTTAATATGAAATTTACCCAGGATTAGAATTAGTGTCTTAATTCACATTTTAATCCATAGTAAGTTCAACCACTAGAATTTATATAATTATTACACTAGAACTTTATAATTTAAAAACACACCAAAAATCAGTTATGAAAAAGACATAATTGACCATCTAATAATACCTAATTTAATTATTATTTTTCAATGTTATGGTTAGTGACATCTTTTTGAGGTCATTATCAAATAAGTAACTTAACCCACGCAAGTAAAGTGGAATGGTGTGGTACTGTAGTGGTATTAATAGTTTAGGAGGAATCCACTACAGGACCTATCGTATGTCCCAACGTGAAAGAGGTAGTTCCCTAGTTGAAACTACTGTAGAGGTGAGAAAAAGAAAGATCGATACTTTTTTCTTTATTTAATGGTGAAGAGTTATCACAGAGTACCGTACTTACTGTAACGGCTTATGATCTACGAGAATACCAATTAATTGAGAACATGCAAAGGTGATCCAACAAACTGATGCTGACACCACACCTCAGTTACCAAGGAAAGAAAAAAAAACTAAAATAAAAAATATATTATTCCTCCACCTCATTTGGGTTATTATTCAGATAAGAAATAAGTTTTCTCTTGTAGATTTTTTCTGATAAGTAACTGGTTAACCTGGACTCCTGTGCTTAAATGATACTGTACTGTTAGCAGAGATACCGTATGGGTGTTGTGAAGGAAGACGGGAACAGGAATATGTATTGTGTCATCTTTCAGAAATAATTTGTCTCATCAGTGATTGCCAGCAACAGTTGAATGTGCTCGTAATAGTACTATGCATATTTAATGTGAATAACTGCAGGTGTCTTTCATTTGAACTAAAATTAATAAGAACCAAATTTGTAAATACTCAATGGAGTTTTTATCAAATAAATTTTGTTTGTATAAAGCTGTCATGAAATCAACATAGCCAGGATGGTTTGTTTGGTGTCTCTTAAGCTTGGGTACTGTACACAAGGCCTCAGATGAACTGACTGTGAATTATTACCACATGATATACAGTAGAATCTGTTCCCATGTTTTGTAACTTATTGTGTGATGGGAGGTAACTTGACCTTATACTGTACTGTATTCAAGTTAGTCTGTTATTGAAGATACTGTATTTTCAAGTACAAGATGTAGTGTTTTGGTGAATCTGCCAAATTAAATGTTTTTAAAATACCTGTACTTCACATTAATATTGGAAGAGCTTGTAGATCAAACCTGACCAAGAACCTTCCTAAAAAGGGGGGAGGGGTCAGGTCAATCTCACATTGGGTTTTATAAATTCATGAAATGTGTCTTCTTGTATGTTAGTCGTTGACCAGAAAGTCCTTATTACAGGTTCAACATGGAGAACAAACCCACCACTCTGCGTCTGGCAACATACATGTGTCCTGGTGTCCCCGTGGAGTACTTTGAATTTTTAGCCGAGTACTTGGAAACACAACTGAACTTGGAGACTATTCTTTTGTACAATTCACGGAGACGAGGGCCGGACATCAGCCGTGAAGGTGACCTTCATATTGATATAGGTATGATCAGTGAATGCAGTGTTAGTTATAAGTGTAGTACAGTATGCATGATTAAAAATTACTGTACAAATAATTTAGAAATTAAGTAGAATACCCTGTAGCTACTGTAGTCACTGTCAGTAGTTATACAGCACTAATTTTATTATGGTACTGAACTTTACTTTATTCAAAACAATAATTTCCTTATTATCGTGTTTTCTGAGACTGAAGGATCTGTTTTACTGATGAATAACAGTTCATGGTAGTTGGGATAATTACAAGTCACTGTAGAAGCAGTAGATTATGTGGACAATATGGTACCAGAGTGGGTTATTAAGGGGTTGTCCGGCTCATTGCCACTCCATGGCTGCATAAGAAGTTTTTGAGTTCTGTGCTCATAAACGATGGGCCCCTAACAGAATGGATATATGCCAAATAAGAAAGCTGTAGTATGGCATCTGTAGAGCCACCATCACTATTTTCCAATCTCTCTCCTTGTAAGTCCATTGTCACCAAGTCAAGAAGATTTGGAGAAGTTGATCAGGCATTTATCAAAGGAGAAATTAACAAGATGTTGTCTGAAGGCATAATAGAACCTAGTATACCACCTTGGAGGGCTCAAGTTCTCACAATGAATGAACGCCACAAAAAGAGACTAGTTGTTGATTACAACCAGACTATAAACAGGTTTACCCATTTAAATGCATATCTCCTGCCTGGCATTGATGACCTTGTGACAAAACTGTTCGAATACAGTTTCTTCAGCACTCTTGATCTAAAAAGTGCTTATCATCAAATACTTATAAGAGACGAGGACAAGCCTTACACTGCTTTTGAGGCCAATGGCAAACTGTACCAATTCTGTAGAGTGCCTTTTGGAGTAACAAATGGGTTAGCCTGCTTCCAGCGTACTATGGATGATTTCATCAGTAACAATAACTTACAAGGTACCTACTGTATGCTTATATTACTGTGGTAGGCATGACCCAAAAGGAACACAATGATAACCTATCTAGGTTTCTTGAGGATGCCAAGAAACAAAGCTTCACCATCAATGAAGACAAATCTATCATCTCTTCTCCATCTATAGATCTGCTGGGCTACACTATATCCCCCAGGAACTCTGAGACCAGATGCTGAATGCTTACTCCCTTTAAAGGAACTACCAGTTCCAAAAAGTATCCCATCATTGAGGCGTGTGATAGGAATGTTCTCTTACTACTTGCAGTGGGTGCCTCATTACTCTGATCAAATCAGATCTCTTGTCAAAGCCCCAAAATTTCCTCTCCAAGAAGTGACTGCCTTCAAAAGCTTCAAGAAAGTGATAGAAATTCCATGGTCTGTTCAACTGACGAGTCCATTCCTTTTGTAGTGGAAACAGATGCCCCTGACTCTGCTATCGTGGCCACTCTGAACTAAGCTGGCAGACCGGTTGCATTCTTTACAAGGACTTTCAGACAGTGAGCAAAAACATTCAGCTGGACAACCCCAAGTGCAAAATGATAGTACAGTAATTCTTTATCCATATAGCTATGTAACTGTATAAAGTAAAAGCATTACATCCCTTAGACATAAATTAGTACACAAGAACAGTACAGAGGTGAACCACAAGTCCATATTACAGTGATATTCACCAGTACTGAACACACTTGCTCAGTAGTGTGTGGTTTGTGTCAGTCTGGTCCAGCTAACATTCATGCAGTCCTGGGCAGTTTCAGGGCAAGTGGGTGGTACATACAGCTTATTGGTTAGCTCCCTTCGGTAATGCAGGAGAGATTGGGAGTACAGCATGTACATATATTAGTTTATATACCCAGCAGATTTGCTAATTCTCGTACTCATTTTAACTTCGATACAGTACTGTACTGGTTTTGAAATAGTGTACTGTACTGTACGGTATATTGTATCGCTGTTTTAATATTAGTTTGTAGACATTTATTTCAATTTTTTGTGTTTCAGCCTTTGTGTCCACTTCATCTTACCTCGAAAATTTTAAGTCCAGCCCGAGCAGTTTCCAGTTACTTCCCGTAGGAGCCGTAACAAAGCACCCGAAGAAGGGCAACGTTCTGGGCTACTACACTGATATTCTTGTTCACAGGGATGTTAAGTGAGTTGCTTTGTTATATACAGTATGTACACTATGTATGTATGTCTTCAAGTTTGGAGTTAGTTTACAAGTTGAATGAATACTTATATTAATCATTATAGAAATTGGTTAGTATAAGTTATGCTTAATTTAGCTAACTGGAACTATTGAGTCTGCTTTTACTGTATTGTATTGTGGTTAGAGGTGATGGCTCCAAGTGTTCAGTTTCTTCATCCACTGCTGAACAATACTATAACTGTTATACTACAGATGAACTTATGAAAAACATTAAAAATATTATGGCATTTCTATATAGCTGCCATAATTACTTACAGATTTAAGTGTACCAATAGATAGAAAAAAATGAAGAAAAATGTAGTGAATTACATTGTCAAATACACTGTACTGTACATAGATTTAATTACTGTAGTGTTTTCATGAGGTTAGAGGTACTGTAGTTATGTATATGATGAAAGCTACTATCCTGTGATGTATCATATTTATATAACTGTATTTTTGTGTCTCTCTCTTATATGGTCCAGCTCTGGATGGTGAGTACAGATTACATGATTATACTGTGTTCTGGTTTGCACCTTAACCCATTAATACAGTTTATTCCTAGCGTGGGGATCTCAGGGTCAGTGATGCCTTGTTTGTGGTGGAAAGTTTTGTTTATATTAAGGTGTTTAATTAACTTTTATGTATGTGTGTGGTCATGTATGCTTATGATCTGTGGGTCCAAACATAAGGATTGTACATATCTGGAGGCACTTTGTACAGTACTCCAGTTTTGTTACCTTACTTTAATTTTTCCTCTTCACCACTGATCAGCTCGTTACGCACTGTTGGTAAGTGCTGGGCATGTACTGTACTCTACTGAATGTATCTATACTTGCACCAAGTCTGGTCTTGATTGAGCTCACACCTGGTGCCGTCACAACACTCTCTGGCACATTGTTCACAACTCTCACTCCAAAAAGTTTGCCTTGACAGTTTCATGAACTTGTGGCACAAGTTAAAGCAAAACACCAAAGACACCATCTGGTAACTGGTTTGTGAACTTTTGGATTTGGGATGTAAAGCACAATACAGTAATTGTAATGTAATTTTCACGAATAAAATGAACAGCTTTACTTTTTTGGGTAATAGATGTCCGGATACCACATTATTGACTAGTAAGAAATAAAAAGTATAATTCATCTAAAAACTGTGTGATGAATGGCGATGTTGGCAGCAGAGTTTGGAAAGTGTTGTCGTAATACTGTACAGTACAGGACTGTAACTGTAAGTGATATCTCCATTAGCCGGAACAATTGATGCAGAGCACTTCTGGGAATGAGAGATTTTCAGGTAATGAGACTGCTGTCTCAAAGCTGGAAAAACTACCCCATCCCCGGAATTTCATGGTATAGGAAAAATTTTCTCAGAATTTTTTGGAAAATGTGCCCCTCAGGAAATTGTTCCCAAAGCCTTAATTTTCAAGAAAATTCAGGCTTTGGGAACGATTTTCCAAGAGAATTTCAATTCCGGCTATTAGAGAGTTCCGGGTATGAGGGATTCAGGCTGCTGGAGATATTACTATATTATATCCCTATCATATTTGTTATACTGTACACAACAATGTTAAGAATAAACTGCATGTACTGTACTTGGACCCAGCGTAGTGATGCAGTGGTGTTATGGTCAAGTGGCAGTGACTGTAAACAAAGGTTTTTAATGTGTGTGGAGACCCAAGCATTAAAAGAAGTCCGCTTTCATTTGTTATGTTGTGAAGTAACTTTTAACACAGTACAGTATGCACTAATGAGGGTTTATGTTAAATGTCCAGGCTCAGGTTCACCCATTATTGTGTGTTGACTTTTTATATTACTTTATTATTATTATTACAGTAGTGGTGTATTATCAAAATGTTTGTTGCTCTAAAACACAGTACAGTAAAGTACCATACATGCACCACAAGTTCCTCTCATTGTTTACAACACACTTATGTCTGTTAATAACTTTCAGGGAACGAGTGAAAGAATTCTTGGATGCCAGAGGATGTAAATTTGTGTACTCCCACGAAGGTTCCCTCAGCAGCAGTAAACTTGTATTACGTACATTGAAGCAGATGGGAGAGGATGCATCGTTCTTCTCCGATATACAAGGTACAGTCCAGTAAAGAAGCTGATCGGTGGTGAAGAGGATAACAGAAACAGTACAGTGATGAAAGTGTAAAGAGAAGTATTTTTATATTATTTTCTTTTTTTAACAGCCTCTGGAAACCACATGAACTCCATTGAAACGGTCGTGGCGAAGAAGGCAGAAATGTCAGCCGTTGATTCCTTGTCGCTGGCTAACTATCTGACGTGCCATTACTACCAGGAACCAGAGCTGCACCTACAGGAATCATGGGGTCCACTTCCACCCCATCCCATATTAATCAACAACAAGTTCCCAGGTAAGGACATCCTGGTGATATAGTCTGTCAGTCGTCTGTCGTTTTTTTTCTCATTTTTATCTGTTCTGTGATGCCTTCCAGACTGCCTTGTGAAAATAGACCTCCTTTGCTCCCATTACTTTCCTTACTCCAACAGTGTAGCCCTGTTCCCCTCAACTCTTCACACCTGCTACGTTACCTATCTACACCCTCTTTTACATCTTACCCTCTTGCGTCTTTCTCATATATTTATAAGTGTAAATTATTTGTTAAACATGAACTAGAGATGTTATTATTAATGATTTTATCTTTACTTTCAGTTGATTTGAGAAATAAAATTGAGGAAGCATTATTGAGTATGCACAAGTTCCCCAAGTGGATGAAGCAACTCAACACGTTCAGCATTACAGGCTTCCGCAAGACATCGTTTGACAATTATCTCGAAGCTGCTGACCTCTTAGATGCTACCAAAAATCTCTCGTATGGTATCACTTATTACTGAAAATATTTTGTTTTATTTTGATAAAAGAAAATATGTTAAAAGATAAATGATCTAATTCCAAATATATTTTCATAAATTCATGTATGAATTTTGAGAACCCTAAGCTTTATATAGATGACTACCGGTGTTATTCTTCTGGTGACAATTATACTTTAGATGGATCAAGGGAAATAAATCATTAAAGAGGAGGTTTATGGGAGTGGTGCAATAAGTGTAGAAAGCAGCAGAAATTACCCACATCAAAACACTCTCTCTCTCTCTCTCTCTGTTAAACAATAAAAGTAATCAAATGAAACGTCCAGTTGTACCATTTTCCGTCAGTTCAATAATGGTCGGGGCTCTTGCTACAATACACTACTATATAATCTGATGACAAGAGGCTGAAGGTTCCTCTATTCTTGTCACATGCTCACCTTGTCAGTGGGGTGGTGGATACACTGCTAAGGTTATTATCATCTGCAACTGCTTTATTTAAACAATTTCCTCCTATTTCTCTCAGAATGTCAAGTCGCACAATCCATTGGTTGATGCCATCAGTACAGTATTATGTGGTATGGGTTCAGGAATGTTGTTCTATAGAGAAGTACAAAGATGGAAGACCAAGATGTATGACCTCCAACCTCCTTTTTCATTCCTTCTACTAAAATTTTTGATCTGTAATTAAAAAAAAAATTCAAATACATTTATGCAGGACTGGTTGGTTACAATGTTAGTGGCAGTAGATATGATGAAGATAGTTCTCCAAGCAGGCAGAGTTTGTTGGAGTAAGGGGACACTCCTGTAAACTCTTTGTAGTTGAGTTAATGTACTTGAGAAATTTAGCTGTGAAACATATTTTAAAGGTAATAAGATCTGACTTAACTCATCATAACTATTTAAAATGCTGATAACTCCAGGAATAAAGTGTTATAGGTGTGTTCTACTTTGTTTTGCTATTAAGTTAACTTTTACTCAACTTTTACTCTTGTTTGCTGTGTTTACAAAGGAGATAGGAGGAAAACTTAAGAGAAAATACAAGACCGTGCAGTGAGAGAAAGTGACTAACGTTACCTTCATGATGGCTCCAGTGATCATGGTGTCAGGACGCCCATTATGGAACCACTGGTGTTGATGATGTCCTTCAAGGTGCCAGCTAGGTTGGGGGTCAATTTCCCTCTTGGAGAGGATGCCGCTGGCCCCTTCAAACCCCTGAGTCAGACACGTGACTACCATAGCCAGCGTGACGTTGCCAAGAGAGCTGCCGCAGAGGCGTATATAAGTAGATGGTGGGGCAAGTTATTGGTGGTAATGAAGTGTGTGTGTATGGCTTGGTCCATTGGTGAAGGTGAAAAGACTACTGTAATTTAGAGTCTGAATTTGATCCCCAAGTTCAGATGAACACTCCATACATATTATTCAAGCTAGAGACCATGCCTTCAAATTAATCACTTTACTGTATGGGATGAATGTTGCATCATTACACACACACACACACATTAATGGCAATACAATACCTTCAAGTTACAGGACAAAGTATCGAGATATAAAAAAATAAAGAGGACTTATGGGTGGTTGCTTACAGTTCCCACTAAGTCATAATTCAGCACAGTACAGTACATTACATCACAGTACAGTACATTACAACTCAGTACAGTACAGCACAGTACATTACAGCACAGCACAGTACATTACAGGTCAGTACAGTACAGTACATTACAGCACAGTACAGTACATGAAGTAGGTTTGAGGAGTAACATGGTATAGTCCTATGTTCACTTAACTCCTCTGCCCCTCACTTTAACCACCCACCTAAGCCCTCACGTTATTCTTAGGGCGAGTTATGTGAGTGTTACCAATGTGTTGACGTAACCTGGACACACAGCAATAGTGAAGTTTATTCAGGGAGCATTTATGCCAATAATCACCATAATACCATGCACCCACCTGTTGTGTAAGGAAGGTCAGAGGATGGTGATGAGGGGGGAGGTGTGGTGATGAGTGAGAAGGTGTGGTGAGGTTAGTGGATGATGATTTGACCTAATCTAACCTAAATCAAGCTAACATAACCTAACTCGTCCTAACTGCTGAACTATTTTTTTTTAATGGGTATTAGCCCACCCGGGCACAGGTCACTGACCCACATCGGGGCCTGGGGGGCGAAAATGTAATACTAATAATAATTCATAGTAAAAAAAAAAATAATATCTGTAATAATAATAATAAGGAACCATGAATACAAAAACGAAAAAAAATCAAAAGTGAGAAACAATATACCTGTATGTATGTTGTGTTGTCAATAGTAAGAAACAATTGAGACCCTACAATTGTGTGTAAATGAAGCAGAAAGTCAGATCAGCAACCTGGGACTTGGTCACAATTCTTGTGATGCCATATGGCAGCAGGGTCTACCATTAGACAACACATTATGCTTCCAATATCTTCCCAGGTGGTAGTACTGTAGTGGATTTCTCCCCTGCAAACGCTGTTTGTCGCTGAGTAGCCGACCCCACGAATTCCCCAGTGTATGCCTCGTGGTCTGGGTCAACCAGCGCCGCCATACATCACGGAGGTCAACTACTAAGCCACGCCTACCCCCGCTATTTAAGACCTGACCTCGTGGTGACCTCTCCTCTTCTAGCTACAGCCGCAGCCAGCAACACCTCCTCCTCCTGCCTGGCGGCCCTCGCTCCCGCCGGCGAGCATGGCGACCCACAAGCTGGTCCTCCTCTGAGCGTCCTCACCAACCAGCTCTCTCTACATCACGCTTGTAACCACGCTGCCACTTCCCAGCACCAAGCTGCATTGTACATCCAATACAATATGTATACAGTGAGCACATTGTGAGTTTCCTTTCTCCATCCCATCCTGAGTGTGAACCAAACATCCCATACCCCACAGTACCTCCCTGTTTGGTAACTGGCCTAATGTAGAAATGAAAATTAGTTGTCTTGTCTGTGTGCTTATAAGAGCTTATCATTTTCCGTCATTTGTGTGAGTGAAGTTGCATATCGGTCATATTTGAAGCTATTTTGTGTTAATATTAGAAAACTTTTGACAGGATCAAACTAGATGTCCAGTATATATTTTAGCCATATTGAACTAATAGCTGCTGCCTTGAACCATTTAGTTTTGCATTTTTATAAAGTATAGTAGGGGAGACTTCTGTAGTGAAGAGGATAAATGAAAAGGAAAAGTAATCAGAGACGTGACCGATCGCCCAAGCGGCCAACGAGCTGGTCAGTGGCGAAGAGGATAAAAGTAAAAGTATTTAGTTATGACTACTTCTCTTCGTTAAATAGTCTTTTTATAGTAACTGAAACATAATATAAATGCTGTTTTGGTTTATGTGCACATCTGATGAGTTTGGCGTCAACAATGAACCCCCCAAAATACCGTCCTGGCGTCGACAATTTCGGTCATGAATGAAACATTTTGATGAAGGAAACGTAATGGACAAATGGAAGTGAAGCAATAATTTGGTTTAAAGTTCTTGCTTGCCTTTTTGGGTGAACAATATTAGCACATGGTAATATTTAAATTTGGTTATTTAAGTTATCAGTTGGAAATAAAGTAATTTAGAAGAGTTTAGATAATTAATTTAGGCGGTGATAACAAAAACTAGTTTATGTACCTTAACACCTAAAGACGAATAACCAAAGCCAAATAATGAATTCTGAAGACATTAACTATCTGTAGATGACTTTACGTGATAATCAGAAATAGTAGTTAATAGGGAATTGGTATTATTTAAGTTTTAAAGGGACTGTTGGAGGCGGAGGAACAGGGCTGGGGCGTCATGGAGGGAAGGATGAAGTTGATCCTCGTGCTCTTGTTCTTGGCTACAACTGGTGGTGTTTTAGCACATTACATCAGTAAGGCACAATATGATGGGCCAAGTGAAGATATTGGTCAAAGTGAGACTTGTCAGTTGATGTGTGGCAATATGTTTGATGATGTGAGTTAGGATTATAATGTACTGTACTCTTATGTATTTTGTGTTATGTTATTATCTTCACTGTAAGTTACTGGTGTCTTATATTCACTAAGTTACTATTGTCCTATGTTCAGGGCCACCGTGAGCTGTCCAGGGCCCCGGAGAAAGATAAGTTTGGTAAATTTGCATTTTCAACCATTACGACTCCGTTGAGCAATGTTTTTTATTATTCGATTTTTATATTGATTTTTGTCGGAAATCACTCGTTTCTAACCTAACCTAACCCAACCTCACCCACTCGTCTGTTTGCAGGAAAAGGGAGAGAACGCGTGTCTGCGAGGCTGTCATGGATATCAAGGCATTACCAGGGATGACCCAAATGCTCTTCGGGACAAACGACTTTGTCATGACAGTAAGTAATATTTTTGGTTGGTGTGATTTAACTGAACACGGAGTTTCTCATAGGTTTTGTGTTAAAAAAGGTAATATAGGGTATTATTTTCTTGTAGCTCCTTCATTCCTACCACTAATCTATTATATTCGAATAAGACGTCTAATTATAAGATAATTTTCATCTATTACATTACCGGCGGAAATGTGTAATAACGGAGATAGCTCTTCCAAATTTTTTTCTATTTCTTCCATTAAATCGCGCCATTATCGTCTGCCTCTCCTCCAACACTGCGTCCCCTTCATAAATCATCCTGCACATGCGTTTCTGTACACGTCACGCGGCCAATAAAAAGCCTTTTTTTATTTTGAAACCAATTAAAATGTTTTTGGGTTTAATTCGCGGTATTTTTGGCCCAATCAAATTCGAGTATTCTTTTTGGTCTCATATTTTGAAGTTCAAGTTCAGTTCCGACCATGGAAGTCTGCGATGGATGTCACTTAAAGTATATGGAGCTGATTGCGAGTTTTTGGGAAAAAAACGAAGAAACTATAGCATTTTTTCGATCTCATGGTGTTCTTCCAACCTCAGTAAAGTGTACTAAGAGCAAGACAATGTAAATATTGCAAAGACCAACATATGTGGCGTTGTGTAAGAAATAGGTGATTCCATCATATGGTGAGAGTCAGTTAAGTTAGGTCAGGTTAGGTTAGGTTTGGTTATTGTTTTTCTAGTGTTTTATTGTGTATTTCTTAGTCGCTTAGGCACTTTTTCTTCTCGGTAAACGTCAAACGAAAAAAAAAAATCGCTTAAAAGAAACGGCTAATTTCCGCCCAAAAGGAAGGTCATATTCGGTCTCAGCACACACTAATACACTATACAAATATAATTTAAACTTGCTACAAGTGAACGGAGCGACGAGAAAAATTTACCTAATATAGAACCTTTGAATAGCAGGGGATTTCTTACTCATGTTACTTGTTAACCTTCCATCTCATTTATTTGATTCTTTATACGAAGCTTTTGAGGGAATACTCGTATGTTTTAGTTCCTCGAGTTTAGACAGACAGACAGATAATATTATTTTCTCAGTGCCAGACACGTAAAGGAGAGTTAAGTGTTGTATAGTGATCAGTCAGTCACTTGGCCACCTCAGCTTGTATTATTGGACAGAGTAAAGTTAGTGTTGATCGAAAATAGCGTACAGTATTTAGGACGGTAAATAGCGTAAGAAACAACCTGTTTCTCGTATTAATTTAAAATTCGTGGTACTGTGGGGTGGCTGATGTTCAGTAACATGATTTATACTGCACTTGAATTACCCGCAATACTTAGTTCTTGAGAAATTTACACAACAATGGTCTCCAATGAACTGATGTTAATAAGAGATATACAATATATGGTTTTATTGTAGCTTTAAGAGCCGTTATAAAAGATGTATTTACTGTTTCTTTGGAGAGACGATAAACAATGAACAAATATTTTAAAGGTTTTATTAATGAGTTCTAGGTTAGGTCCACTTATTTGTAAAACCTGTAAATAATTATATTTTCAGTGTCATTAACCCGAAAATATTTTGATAATCCTATTCCAAATATAAAAGGTAAACTAACGTAAATTTATTTGATTTATGACGCAGTTATCGCAGTTATCAGTACAAGTGTGAGAGAAACTGGTGGAGGTGTTGTGGGGATATACTGCAGCAACGTTAAAATACTGTACTTGACACTGCAGTGCCATGAACAAATGGAAATGGAAACAAGATATAAAAGTGCTGAGAGAGAATCGATAGTGGGAAATGTATTATTAATTTTAAGTAATAAAATAATATTTGTACTACATGAACCTCTGTGTTTAGTGGCTTGCTGTAGTAATTAATTTGGTAATGTCATTGGTACGCTGGATAGTAGAGTGAAACTGAGTTGCTTTTCACTTGTTAACAGGATGTGCACGAAAGTTCCAGCTCGTTCCAGTGGAGAAGAAAGCTTGTATGTTTGGCTGCAAAGTCATGCTTAAAATGCATGCACACAAGGTGAGAATATATACTGTTTGTATGTCCACAGACAGTAGGTGTATACTTGAAGGATGTGTACAGTAATGTGGCCAGGAGGTACAGGTGAAGGGGAGGAATGGTGCAGTGTATTGTGAAGCCATCAACTATACTACACCATTTGTCGTCAAAGTTACTTATACAAGTCTTTAACAACACTATCATTTGAGTGTGCAGTGTTGTGTTACTTTAGAGTGGTTCCCAAACTTTTTCTGATCATTACCCACTTTTCATATATGATCCTTATCCATGGCCCCCCTCTCCCAATCCATATCTCTGGCTGGCTCAGCTGCTGACTGGCTGTTCTAGTGTGGTGGGGCTTGGGATTTTTATGTGTATATAGCCTCAGCTTATGGCCCCCAGTTTGGGAACCAGTGCAAGTTTAGACATTTATCTACTGTTACTTGTGCTTTTACTTAACCCTTGATCTTATAGTTAAGGCTTTTGTTTCGAAACGTCTTAACAAGCAAGGAGGAACAGGTTTGAATCAAACTAGGTAGTAAAGATGTAGTGCAAGGTGGTTAGGTGAGGTTAGATTAGGTGTAGGTTAGATTAGATTAGGTGTAGGTTAAGGTAACATGTAACAGTTCCCCCTCGCAAGAAAGGCCCCCTAGTAGGCTAGATGTTTGGTGGAGGGTCACACAGGTGGAGGTCTTCCTTCACCAACGTTTGTCTCGACAGTTTGGAACCTGCTCGGTGTGACAGTAGCGCAGCATGTTGACGCCCTAACCACGACGGTACTGAGTGAGGGTTGCAGCTGATGGTAGTTATGTAAGAAAGATGGGAATATTTATATTGTTTGTGTGTGAAATTAGAATTAATGTATACTTCAGAGTATAGAACAGATACCATGAGTGTACTTGGGTTGTCCAGTCAGCCAAGTTCAAATATTTAATTTATTTTCAGCCTCCTGTTAAACAAGAAGACATGGTGGTCGCACAGGAAATTGAAGAGCTCCTCGGTAACAAAACTTTTAGTTCATATCGGGAGAGAAAACAGCCAGTTAGCGTAAAGAAATCATCTTCAGAAAATGTGGCTCTCGCTCTAGGAGGAAAGTTTCATAGTACTGCAGCATCAACCAGTCATGTAAAACCAGAATTTTCAACTCACCATAAGATTACTAGTGCGGAGACTGAAGGACAAAAGAATACAACAGTTGATGTTCGGGGTATACTTGGGAATAGAACAAAGGGCATGGAAACTCTCTCAACGCACGGTAAAAGAGGAAAGAAAACTCTGGCAAAGAAGGAAAGGCAAGCGGAAGAAAAAACCACACTCGATCTTCTGACTCGGTTAAAGCGAAACGGCTTGGCTATAGAAAAAGTAACGGAACCAAAGGACAGGACTTTCATTACCGGTGAAACAATTAGTCCAGGGGGAGTGGAGCCGACAAGTGGAAGTGAGTCCGTATCTAAAGTAGGAATGAGCTTCAACGTGAAACACCCAACAATTGAGCAGAAAATTCCTTGTGAGGCCAGGAAATTGAGGCCCGTTAAGAAAGTGGAGTGTCGGAAGGGTAGGGCAAGGAAGAAGGGAGTACGGAAGGGTTGGGCAAGGAAGAAGGGTAGGAGGAGGAGGAAGGTAGCTTTGAAGGGTAGGGGAAGGAGGAGGAAGGTAGGTTTGAAGGGTAGGGGAAGGAGGAGGAAGGTGGGTTTGAAGGGTAGGGGAAGGAGGAGGAAGGTGGGTTTGAAGGGTAGGGAGGGGGAGGAGGAAGGTAGGCTCAAGGTAGGGAAGGAGGAGGAAGGTGGGTTTGAAGGGTAGGGGAAGGAGGAGGAAGGTGGCTAAGGGTAGGGGAAGGAGGAGGAAGGGTAGGGGAAGGAGGAGGGAAGGTGGGTTTGAAGGGTAGGGGAAGGAGGAGGAAGGTAGGTTTCAAGGGTAGGGGAAGGAGGAGGAAGGTGGGTTTCAAGGGTAGGGGAAGGAGGAGGAAGGTAGGTTTGAAGGGTAGGGGAAGGAGGAGGAAGGTAGGTTTGAAGGGTAGGGGAAGGAGGAGGGAAGGTAGGTTTGAAGGGTAGGGAAGGAGGAAGGTGGGTTTGAAGGGTGAAGGTAGGAAGGAGGAGGAAGGTGGGTTTCAAGGGTAGGGGAAGGAGGAGGAAGGTGGGTTTCAAGGGTAAGGGAAGGAGGAGGAAGGTGGGTTTCAAGGGTAGGGGAAGGAGGAGGAAGGTAGGTTTGAAGGGTAAGGAAGGAGGAGGAAGGTAGGTTTGAAGGGTAGGGGAAGGAGGAGGAAGGTGGGTTTGAAGGGTAGGGAAGGAGGAGGGGGTGGGTTTGGGTAGGGGAGGGGAGGAAGGTGGGTCTGGTAAGGGTAGGGAAGGAGGGAGAAGGTGGGTTTCTTGAAGAGGAGGAAGGTGGGTTTCAAGGGTAGGGGGAAGGAGGAGGAAGGTGGTTTCAAGGTGGGTAGGGGAAGGAGGAGGAAGGGGTTTCAAGGGTAGGGGGGAGGAGGAAGGTGGGTTTCAAGGGTAGGGGAAGGAGGAGGAAGGTGGGTTTCAAGGGAAGGGGAAGGAGGAGGAAGGTGGGTTTCAAGCGTAGGGGAAGGAGGAGGAAGGTGGGTTGAAGGGTAAAGTAAAAAGGAAGTGAAGGACTTTAAAAGGTAAAGGCAATTAGGGAAATGTGTTATTTGTGAAGGAAATATTATGTTATTTATTTGGTAATGGTGGGTATTATATGCATTGTTTAGGAGTTTCAGTATCGTGATATTGTGTTGTTTTCTAGAGAGGCTTTTTAACATTTTAAGCCACATTGTAGAATGAGTCAAGTATGATATGTTTATGAGGAAGTTTATTAGTAGGTATGAGATGCAGATTGTTTGCTGCCGCCCAAAGAATATATTTTTTTATTAAAGGACGATAGCGAATAAGATATTTTTATACACAAAAAGGATTTACTGTATTATTTACCGATATGGAAGGTTTGCTAAATTACTGAAGTAGATATTCACTGTATTAGGGCAAACTTTATGAATTGGATGAGATGAAAAAAACAAAAGTACTCGTGTGATTCATAAGATAACAAGGTAGTTTTATTATATTTTTCTCAACGCGTGAAATTATGGAAAATTGATTTTTTTCCATTTTATCTCTCTCTCTCTCTCTCTCTCTCTCTCTCTCTCTCTGTATATATATATATATATATATATATATATATATATATATATATATATATATATATATATATATATATATATACAGTATAAAGGTTTCGTTTACTTCATTTTATCCCCATTCACAATTTTAGTTTATTGACACCCAGACTTATTCTACCCTGAGGCAATCTACCACGCTTCCTGCCTTCCACTGTGTTCCTTCTCTTCCTCACACTTCGTCACTAATCCAGTTTCCCTTCCCTTCACTCCTCCCACACACAACATACAAGATACTTTTGCAGTTTTAACAGTATTCTAATAAAGGAAGAATGCTCCTAACTGTATGGTTAATAATATTGATTTCAACATGTAACACACTTTAAATAAGTATACGGTATCTTTACGGGTGGTCTATTGAATATTAAAATGAACATTGCGATTCCTGTTGGCTCAGTCTGTATATATATATATATATATACCTTACCATCACCCTTGCCAGCCTCTGTTGCAGGGCCGGATTCAGGAGTGGGCAAAGTGGGCAGCTGCCCAGGGGCCTCCACATGTACGGTAGTAGCTATATCAGGGCTGGTCGACTTGAAATCACATGAATAACTCGTCATGTCTCACTTTTGTGTGAGTGTGTGTGTTGGGAATTTGTACACTCAATAAATATACAGTTAATTAAAAATTTCTCAATGTTCTAATTTCCTCAATATAACTGCTTATGGCTTCAAAATTCTCCAAGGAAGTCTTCAAATTTCAACATTTTCCCGGGGGGGCTTACAGCGCCCCCCGGAACTCCCAGATGTTTAGGCTCGCTTCACTCGCCACCCCACCCTCTTGGGTAGTTATAATGAGGGGGGCCTCCACAAAGAGGCTGCCCATGGGACTCCACAGGTCTAAATCCGGCACTGCTCTGTTGTATCATAGTTTCTCAGAGAAGAGTAAAGATTTTTTTGAGCGTGTTTACTGTAGGTCATGGGAGAGAAAACTTGGTACTAGAAATTAGGTTAGCGTTTAGTTCGGCTAGGCTAAGTTAGGTTAGGTTAGATAGAGGTTAAATAAGGTTAGGATTAAGTTAAGTTAGGGTCAGGTTAAGCTAGGTTCTCGGAATAGCCAATATTTCTCCCGCCATTTCACCTCTTATGCTATTTCCTCCCAGAGATACAATCACGATCCCCTGACCCTCCAACACCTTCAACCTGTACCCTGCAACTACCCCTGCCAGCCTGTACCCTGTCATGCCATCCGTTACTCACGCTTATGTCCTGGCCATTGTAAATGCACTTCTCTGATGCCTTTTGTTATGTGTGTTAGTGGTCGTTGTTAAGCTGGAGAAGAATTCTGTTAACTGCGCACCGATCGACCTCCTCTTAGTCAACCACAACTACCGTTTACTGAGGCACAAGGAGGAGGGTGCTGACGCTGGCTGGGTGTGTGAGTGTGTGTTTGGCTGACTACTGCTGACAACGGCTTTTTTCTATCTAGAACTTGGTAAGACGCTTTATCATCCCAAGAACCTTTTTTTGGAGGGGGACAAATAACATGTTAGGTCTTTTTTAATATTTACAAGTTTATTACGAATTGTTATTATGCTAAATGTTAAACTGATCATCATACACGCATCTATTTTTACTGGCAGTCTCTAAGTCAACAGTTTGTGGCGTCTAAGAACCAACAAATTATAATAAACAAAAACCCATAATAAGCGATGACTCATTAGCTGTCATGAAAAACATACCAGTATATATTAACATTATTATATTATATATTTAAGCTACCGTGAAGACAAATATAGAATATAAGAGCTTTTTATAGTTATCCCTCATATGGAAAGGAGAACACGGGAGTTGAGGATGGACGCGGAATTTACTTGGGGAGGAGGGGGAGGGGGGAGGGGGCGTGAGAAATGTGTTGTGTTGATGTGGCCAAGACGATAACGCTGCTCAGTCCTCTGTGTTAGAGTGATTTAATTAACTACCAGTGAGAGATAACTCATGTGGGTAAGACTCATGAATATCATGGCATTGAAATCGCCAAGACTAAGACTCTTGGAAGAAGAATTTAAAGATTCCAAGAAAAAAAGTACACATTAAGAAGTTAAAAGCAGCATCTCCATCAAGGACCCCCCCCCACACCGGGGGGGGGGGGGTCCTATGTTGTCAAGAATGTGTGCGCCACACATGTAATTTGTCAATAAATTAGATATACGCAAGTATTTTCCAATGCTGGAATGTTTGCCTCCCGTAATACTGTATGTTACTGCGAAGGTCGTAATGGTATTAGTATTATCAAGCAATGAGCTGTAGAGGTTAACGATACAACAGTGGTGTGTTTGGTTTATAACGTTCACTTGTCAAGAATTTGGCAATAATCTTTTATAATGTAACAGACTGGACTCAGGTGACCCATAAGCTCTCCCGTGACTGTTAGTTATTATCACTGCAGCGTGCTGGTTCCCTTGACCTCTTACTGTTCTCAGTTATTGAGCCCCACCGTGCCATAACCACTCCTGAAACTGGTGCTGGTATTGTGCAGTCTCTCTCAGACAACATAAAGCCATCCCCAGAGTAACATGACCAACACATACCACAGGTGCTGACACAGAGGTGAGGCATGCAGCTTAAACACAAAGATGGATCAAGCATGGCAGACAACACGTACAGACAATAAAAGCAATGAATAAGTAAAATCCTGAACGAAAGCACGAATGGGTAGTGGCAGTGCTGAGTGAGTGTGTAGGAGAGGCCCAGTGGACTTGCAAAAATCAATAAATTACCCCAGAAAAAAGAAGATTATTAATTTATAGTAACACAGTGCGTGAGAAACATTATTAAGTGGACGACACATGACAAGGGGTGAGTATTATAGCAAAAATTCTCTCATGTACTTCAGTTTATAAGAAATGTTAGAGGTAAACAAATTATTAACTCCCTCGGTAATAATGGTGGTGAGGGAGAGGAGGAGGGGGACTACTATCACGTATTACTATTAAGTTTCCATTATTCAGTGGACCGTCAGGGCATCGGGGAAGTGCAATAAGCTGTGTTTAAATCGATGTCTGTCTTATGGTCCGCCAGGGAGTGAGGAGTACCGTCAGTAGGCCCTCATGAGGCTACTCCTGGGGATAATTATCGTCACGACTTTCTGCTCACGCACAATTTTTTTTTCAGTGTTTGGAGGAACATACTTATGTGAACAGCTTTTTAAAAGAAATGAATATAACGAAGAACAAATTAAGGTCCCCTATTACTGATGTGCACCTGCTAAACACCCTTCGTGTTGCTGCGTCATCCATCAGCCAGACATGCAGACTTAGTGCAGCAGGGACAAATCCACCCATCCCATTAGCAACTTATTTCACAGTAACAAACACAGTAAATAAGCGTTCTGTCTTTTTGGGATCAGATGACTTTATTGTGGCCCTCTATCTAAAAAGTCTTGCACGCCCCAGAGAAAGAGTGTATACAAGAGTGAGCTAAGCCAAACTGTATTGACATTTTCACGCTACCAAACGTACGACCAATGCAGATCAAATGATGTTGTCAGTATTGGCTTAAACTTTAGACAATTACAATAACAATGAATTGTAATTATATTACAGAGCTTTAGGAGCTTTATTATAGATCTACATATAAGAAAATATATTGACGAGTATGAGATCTTCTCCCTTCCACCGGCAATCACCAGCTGATCCGTCACTCACCCAGACACTCCCAATCGTAAGCTGTCACTTTCACAGAGGCCATAAAGTAGCGCCGCCATTGACCAGTCCTTGGTTACTCTCGTTCCAGCAAGTATGGCGCCTTCCTCGCCAAAGTTCCTCGCCTTCTCACTCTTCGTGTTGGTGGTGGACCACGCTATGGGCCAGGTTGGCGTCTCCGTGGATCAGGTGGATGAACAGGTGGCCATAATGGTGAGCAAGGTGGTGGAGCATCACCTGGCCGGGTGTCACCTGGTGGTGGCCACAACAACACAACACACGCCAGTATTCTTCTCCACTCTCAGGTAAACACTGACTCACCCTTTAAGGAGACGTCCAAGTGGACTGGTTTCTTCAGATGTTAAGTTAGGTTTATAACTTTAGACGATCTGTACAACCATCGTTAATGTAGAAGCCAACATCACCAATTAGTGTCGGGGGTGAGGCGTGGTGTTGGGGACACAAAACCCTTCTCCTGGAGAGCTCAGGGAAGGTGTCATATTTGATGCAGTGTAATGAGTGTGTTTAACATTACTCGGACATTAAGCACTGCCTGTACAGTATATAACGAAGACGTTCATAATCAGGAAAGTGGCGTCAGGAGTAGAGGCGGTGGTGGTGGTGGAGATGGAGGCGCTGTTCACCTCTCAGGACTCGCCAGCACAACAACGTCTCCTGCAGGAAGTGTGGGGAGACGCCAGGGCCACCTGTCGTGCTCTCATCCTTAACCTCAACAAGGACTCTCACCTCGCCTTCAGGTAACACCAACTACCCAACTTCTCCCCTGTCTTAGAACATCGTCATCCAGTAACTAATGAAGACTGAGAATGATGGTAAAATGTTGTATAAGGATAATATACATCACTTAACTAAGAATATTATATTGTTACCATAACGGCCAGTGTTCTCTGTAATGTTGTGCTTCTTGTTGTTCTTGTGTGTGATTATCGTGCAGCAGCTTACCAGACACTGTACAGTATATATAATGTGCCTATCACGCCACCTACAGGAGAACCTTAATCCTGTACAGGTTCCTGGAGGCGACGGGGGTGTGGCAGTGGCCTGAGACTCGTGTAGTGGTGGTGGGTGAGAGGACTCAGGTGAAGGTGGTCCTCCACCACCCTAGTCTACGCAACACTATACATACACTTTACCTCGCCTTCTATAACCTCGCCCTGTATGCCTGTGAGGCTCACACACCTAACACGAGGCTTAGGATGACAAGGACCGAGAAGGCTCGAGTTTGTCAACAACAACAACACGTTGTTGCTGCAGGTAGGACGCTCGTGAGAACGTACTGTTATTTATTGTTTTACCAACAAACAGTTTGTGAGTCTCAAGTTTAACAATATTGTTAAAATAATGTGGGTAAAATAATTAAAGTTCACCCAACAGCGAGGCGGGAGAGTGTAGAGGTATACAGGCGGTGTCTGTACTGCAATAACGGGGATGCGGACATTGTGTTCCTGTACCTCTGGCCGCTCACGTCTGCCAACAACCACCACTATCACAACCAGCTCTTCCCTGGTGAGCCACAACACAAATACACAACTCATGTAATGACTGCTTTCATCATCGTTACCATCGTTTTACGACCATTTTCCACATATGTGTGAGTTAGCTATGATAACCTAATGGCAGCTCTCCTGCAGCCCTTCTCGTCAGGCTCTTAGACTGAGGTCACTTCTCACAGCCTCTCCCCATGTCATTCTTGACCAAATCCTCGTATACATATATTCCAGAACGACTTGAGAATTTCATGGGTCATAAATTCGTGGTCGTGACGCTGCCATACTTCCCGTTCATCGCCTTCGAGAAGGAGAGTGAGGAGGGCGGGGCCTTGTCGCCGCGAGACTCACTCAACACACGCATGATCAACACCATGGCCCGGTGCCTCAACTTCACGTAACTTGTCTCTCCTTTATCCTGTCTCTCTGTTCAGTGATCCCTAAACCTTAATGGAGATAGTCTATTAGTGGAGATAGTCTATTGGTAATCTGTACGATATATGGCAAATACTGAGGGGCAGTTCAGGGCTGCCAGGCGCCGAAGGGTTTTAATATTAGCCTAGTCTTTGTGAGCAGTATACAGTTTCTTGATTTTTGTATAATGTGCAGGTATATGTTCCGAGAGCCGCTGGATGGTACCTGGGGTGTGCCGACGACGGGAGGCAACTGGACGGGCATCGTGGGAGATCTTCAACACCAACTCGTAGACTTCTCCCTCGACCTGACGCCCACAGCAGCCAGGATGGAGATTATATCATTCACGAGGATCTACACTGATGATCCTCTTGTTATCCTGTCACTAAAGCCAGGACCTCTCCCTCGGTACCTGGCGCTCCTGAGGCCGTTTACAAGTAACAACAATCTGTCTTTAATTTCCATGATCGTGTTTAATGCTTCTTCAGAATCTGCTTCTTGGTATTAAACTATATAGATCAAGGTCCTGAACTGATGTTAAATTTATGGATTATTATTTTAAGATTTTGTAACTCCAAGAGAAATATTTTGTATTACAAAATTATATATAGTTCCTACTAATGATTGGTGATGGTACACACACACACACAACACACACACACACACACACAGGACAGCTGTGGTTGATGGTCATGATGAGCACCACCACCTTGGGCTTCACGCTATGGCTGCTACAGAAGGCGTGGTCATGGGTGTCGGGTGGGTCTGGCCTCTGGCTGAGCACCGCCCATTTTTACATCTGGGGGACGATGTTGGAGAACCCGCCAGACAACGCTCCCGCCAACCTCACCAGCAGGGTACGTGTGTTATGTTCACCACCAGTCCTCACCACAGGACGCTCCTTCACTTGTTGCAGTACTTAGACTCTCAGTGATGAAATATTGGTGTTGAGTTTGTGGTAATTGTTCTTAAAGGTTCATTATAGTTACTGAAAATAGTTTATTATATCTTTGCTTTGTCTTTGAATAGGGTTGTCAAAATCCTCCTTCGTCCGTTGCGTCATAATGTCACATACAAAATCATAAAGGTACTTTTTTGGGAACGAGTTTAATTACATCAGTGTTGGTGACGTGTTGGGTGACCCTGAAGGTATTGTTGGTGTTGTCTGCAGGTGCTGTTCGGGCTGTGTCTGCTGACGTGTATGGTCATCAACATAGGTTACCGCTCCTCCCTCATCGCTCACCTCACTGTACAGAGCAAGACCCAACCCATTAACTGCTTCCAGGATTTACTGAAGGAAGATAACTGGGCGTGGGGTAGTTTTGAGTTTGTGGGAACTACTTTTCTCTACTTCAACGAAAGTTTTGATCCTCTGATTCAAAGGATAGGAAATGAAAAAGAGGTATGGATAGATGCATGGGGGTACAGTTTGTGAGTTCGTATTAAGTGCCTTAGTAGCGTCAGACCCAAGAGAAGCGATTATTGAGGGCAAGATTGTTTAACTGAACTCCCGCGAAACTTTGACTAGTGAGCTTTAAATTTACTCTCCCTTGGATTTCTTCTTTATCACACAAACTGCCAATTATTATTAAATTTCATTTTAATCAACGGGTGAAACAAAAATCCTCTTGTGTGGCCAGTGAGGATTTCTTGTGTGGCCAGACAGTGAGTACCTCTTGTGTGGCCGGACAGTGAGTACCTCTTGTGTGGCCAGACAGTGAGTACCTCTTGTGTGGCCGGACAGTGAGTACCTCTTGTGTGGCCAGACAGTGAGTACCTCTTGTGTGGCCAGACAGTGAGTACCTCTTGTGTGGCCGGACAGTGAGTACCTCTTGTGTGGCCGGACAGTGAGTACTTCTTAACGTAGGTATATGGCCAGTTTCCCGTCACACCACTATAGGCCTTCCACTGTGTGTGTACCCGTATATCTCACAGAATCTCTACAAGTATTCCTCTATACTTCATAATATCTTGCTTGTATCAGACCCTGGGTGCCTCGGCGGGGCTGGAGCGAGTTCTGATGGGTAAGTTCTCCTTCATCACCTCCAAGACTAATCTTCTGACGGATGTTGTTAGTTTGTACGCTGACAGATATGGTAACATTCCCTTTCACATCAGTACCACCCACTACCAGATCCAGGGTGGTGATGCTTGGGGGGTCAGGTGAGTTATCATTACAACAGTTTCTGAGTTCTCACTTAAATACAGAGAAGAGAAATACGTTGATGGCTTTAATTGATGATGATAGTCTGTACAAGTTGTCTGTTTTCTGTGTATTTTTGCGGTTCATGAACATAAATTATATTCAATTTCATGTTTTTTTTTTCCAGGAAGGGCGCGCCATTTCTCCGACAGTTGAGTAAGATGACCCAGAGGATGATTGAGGTGGGGATGATAGACCGATGGACGAAAGACGTGGTGTACACTCACATCACACTGCCCAGGTCCCGTACACACGATGCTCAGAACACAGTGTACTCACAGGTGTAGTGTTATACAGTGTGTGTGGTCACGTCCAGACTAATGCTGTAACATGATTGCTGACACACACACACACACATATCCATATGATTCTAAAACCTATGCCCCTCTTGATCCCGGGGGCTCGCGCGAGGCAGCCTGGTCTACACTGTTTGACCACTTCACTTCTCCAACTGACCGAATAACAAGACACATTCCATTGCTACCTTGTCATATTCATCTCAGGTTTAAAAATAAATACAAGTTATAACACAAAGACAAGAATAATTTAGTATTTCTCAGTTGTTTCTCTCGTAGAATAATATAAAGACTTCCCTAGAGCTGGGACGTTATATTAGCCACATTACACTTTGGTGGTCAATGGTGACATGTTAGTCTACTCTTGTTGTTGACAGGAGAGTGACGACCCGGTGGTACTTGGGCTGAACCATCTACAGGGAGCTTTTTACCTGCTGATACTGGGGCATAGCGTCTCCCTCCTCATCTTGCTGGGGGAGAACCTCACCCAGTACCTCGCCTGCCGGGGTAGAACCTCACCCAGTACCTCACCTGCTGGAGGAGAACCTCGTCTAGTACCTCACCTGCTGGAGGAGAACCTCGTCTAGTACCTCACCTGCTGGAGGAGAACCTCGTCTAGTACCTCACCTGCTGGGGGAGAACCTCGTCTAGTACCTCACCTGCTGGGGTAGCACCTCACCTAGTACCTAAAAAAATAACATATTTAATGATCAACTTTAGACTAGATGACTATGATTGTTTTTGTCCATGAATAAAACAAATGAAAAACACAATATATGATTTGATCCCACAAGTAAACGATCACCAGTACTGTACTCGATGCCAAACTTGTTTTCTTAAGCTCATGATACATCCAGGTGTAAACACAAACTGCAATAAACATCAACAAGCTTAATAAACATAGAGCAACACAATGTTATATGTGTTAGTGGTCGTTAAGCTGGAGAAGAATCCTGTTAACTGCGCACCGATCGATCTCCTCTTGGTCAACCACAGCCACCGTTTACTGTGGCACAAGGAGGAGGGTGCTGACGCTGGCTGGGTGTGTGAGTGTGTGTTTGGCTGACTACTGCTGACAACGGCTTCTTTCTATCTAGAACTTGGTAAGACTACTGATACGCTAATAACCTATTTTATGACAAATGCATTAATGTATAGATGATATTTTTGGTTAGTTGGGGATTTTCCAGGTGAGGTGATGGGTGAGGGAAGCACGTGCCGGTCTGGGTGGCACTATCAAAATCATGTAGTGTTATTCTTATGCATCCCATTAACCACTTAAGTGCCCCAATTGTCACTACTGGCCATTTGAAAACGTTTAGTTAACCCAGTTTTGATTTTGACAATCACTCCGTATTGGGCTGGGCTGGGTTGAACTATGTGTGATGTGTATGTATAAGTTCTGGGGTGTGTAGACTATTGTAAATCCTTCCTGAAGACGCGCTGTACTTGTACTGTTGTGTAAACCGTGTGATGATTAGTCAACTTTCGGTAACTTTCCCGAAAGGAACCAACCAACATTCCTCTTTCTATACTACCTGTGGAGCCAGCTGATGGATGTCAACCATAAACGAGTGAGTGTTTAGTACTGTTAAATTGTTCTCTTTTAAAATGTACTTTGTAAAAACACTTTACTTAAATTATTTTTTTACTTGCCAAACCAAAGCCACCCACGCGGCTGTCTTGTGTAAGTGTGTGAGGTTCTGCGGTGGTGAGAGACTTAATATAATCAACTATTTATGTGAAAAGTGAAGTCGAAGTTTGACATTTGATTCTACTATATTTCAGCACCTCCTAAAAACTCTAGCCTCCTGTGAGTATTAAATCAGAGTCCTATACTGGAGCCTTCAAGAAATATTACCAATTTTGGAATTTGATTAATCTATTTACAATATCATTCATTTTTGTTTTTTTCGTTTACTTTTGTGTGTGATGTTATGAGGCGTAATGTGGTGTGAGTGAGTGCAGATTAAAGTATGTTCCTGGTGGAGGTATGAGCGAGTAGGCGAGTGAGTGAGTGCAAGTTGTGAGGTGAATGCCTGGGTGGAGTTGAAGTGTGAGTGAGTTAGTAAGTTGGCGAGTGAGCGCCTGATGGAGTTGAGTTGTGAGTGAGTGAATAAGCGAGCGAGTGAGTGAAGTGAGTGCCTGATGGAGTTAAGGTGTGAGTGAGTGAATGAGTGATTGTGTAAGTGAGATAATTGTGTGAATGAGTAGGCCAGTGAGTAAGCGAGTTAGTGTGTGTGTGTATGAGTGAGTAAACAGAATGCTAACGAAATTCTCAAAAGCTACATTGTTCACGTGAGCTGTGCAAACACATGTCTGATCACTATTGTTACGGCAGGCGACAAATAGCATCTCTATTAGGCTATTAACTGACGCCATCAAATATAATGGACTCTTGACACGATATGGAGTGAATAAACTGCAACAAAGTAAAAAAAAAAATCAGACCACTCCTACACCAAGTGACGCAATGTTCAAAGTACTGAACTTCGCCCATAGCCTAAACATGAAGATGGTAACTTAAATCAATTACTCATAAACATCTACTTGCATTATGTGTAAGGTATACTTGGGCGTTGCCTGTCACGCTAGGCGGCAGTCGACTTCCGTGGTGACATACTGTACATTAGTCAACACACGCCTCATTAAACCGAACACTTAACGATATTAGCTACTACTACTATTGCTGTCTGGGAATCGACTCTTGGTGGTTCAATAAAGAAGAATAAGAACAAAAACCACAAACATATATTATGATGGTTGTATTCTTGGTAAAACATTTCTTTTATATCCTTCACATAGTAAGAACTTGAGCGATAAACGCGTCTGAATGTTGTTCTGCAATCGGCCTTGCATCCCATAATTCGTAACTGTTAACTCCTTCTATGATCTTTTAAAATGCAGATGTTGATATATAATGGTTCACACGTGTTTTCTACACTATTCAACACACCTCCACTATTCCTAATTCTGGAACAACGTTCTACCGATATTTTGACACCATATCGGCCTTCATACAGCCTAGTGACTAGGCTGTATGAAGGCCAATGTTTAGACTAGGCCTAAGTCTAAACATTGGTCTCTGCCTGAGGACAAGCCATACAGGTAGGCAGGTACCATCTCTTAACTGTGGATTCTTTTGGAGGTTTTCAGTATACCCGGGATGTCTTTTCAGTGTCAAGAAGTTAATGTCGGTATCCTGTGTGATTATGCCCTTCAGGAGAGACCGACTTGTAGCATTATATCATCAGTGATAAAAGTAGACGTATTGTCATGTTTTCTCTCCTGAGGTTCAGTTCATCAGAGATTTAAGACCAATATAGTGAAATATCGCCTCACTTGGGGGTAATGGTGGTGATGAGGTGGAGCAATACCAACATTCACAGTTAATACTCGTCCATAGTTCAGTGGACCGTATTGAGAGTGACAGAATGGAGTAACGTATGCTTACAATACGCCCACGGGTGCGAGATTCTTGTTTGTAATAGAATAAGAAGTGAAAGAAAGTTAATGGGAAGAGAAAAAATATGGGAAAAAGTTGAAGAATTGAAGAAAACTGCTGGTTGAGGTGAACATTTGGATGGGTGAGTGTTATGGACTGGGAAAGTGTTGGTTATATTAATTCTAGATTGTTTAGATTTTGTTTTTGCTGTTTTTTTTCCTTTTCTGTGATAGGACACAAGTTAGGTTAGGTTGGCTGCCCTCCGCGGTGACAGGTTTTAGCCAGGGAGTTTTCTTTCACATAATCTCTCTCATAAACTTTCAGGGAATGGTTGTGCGAGTTGAATCTTGTCTCTTTCGTAATTAACTCACAACTTTCACTCAGTGACAATATAACCGGTGGCGTGAGAGGCCATAAAGTAGCGCCGCCATTGACCAGTCCTTGGGTACTCTCCTTCCAGCAAGTATGGCGCCTTCCTCGCCAAAGCTCCTCGCCTTCTCACTCTTCGTGTTGGTGGTGGACCACGCTATGGGCCAGGTTGGCGGCTCCGTGGATCAGGTGGATGAACAGGTGGCCATAATGGTGAGCAAGGTGGTGGAGCATCACCTGGCCGGGTGTCACCTGGTGGTGGCCACAACACAACACACGCCAGTATTCTTCTCCACTCTCAGGTAAACACTGACTCACCCTTTAAGGAGACGTCCAAGTGGACTGGTTTCTTCAGATGTTAAGTTAGGTTTATAACTTTAGACGATCTGTACAACCATCGTTAATGTAGAAGCCAACATCACTAATTAGTGTCGGGGGTGAGGCGTGGTGTTGGGGACATAAAACCCTTCTCCTGGAGAGCTCAGGGAAGGTGTCATATTTGATGCAGTGTAATGTATGTGTTTAACATTACTCGGACATTAAGCACTGCCTGTACAGTATATAACGAAGACGTTAATAATCAGGAAAGTGGCGTCAGGAGTAGAGGCGGTGGTGGTGGTGGAGATGGAGGCGCTGTTCACCTCTCATGACTCGCCAGCACAACAAGGTCTCCTGCAGGAAGTGTGGGGAGACGCCAGGGCCACCTGTCGTGCTCTCATCCTTCACCTAAACAAGGACTCTCACCTCGCCTTCAGGTAACACCAACTACCCAACTTCTCCCCTGTCTTAGAACATCGTCATCCAGTAACTAATGAAGACTGAGAATGATGGTAAAATGTTGTATAAGGATAATATACATCACTTAACTAAGAATATTATATTGTTACCATAATGGCCAGTGTTCTCTGTAATGTTGTGCTTCTTGTTGTTCTTGTGTGTGATTATCGTGCAGCAGCTTACCAGACACTGTACAGTATATATAATGTGCCTATCACGCCACCTACAGGAGAACCTTAACCCTGTACAGGTTCCTGGAGGCGACGGGGGTGTGGCAGTGGCCTGAGACTCGTGTAGTGGTGGTGGGTGAGAGGACTCAGGTGAAGGTGGTCCTCCACCACCCTAGTCTACGCAACACTATACATACACTTTACCTCGCCTTCTATAACCTCGCCCTGTATGCCTGTGAGGCTCACACACCTAACACGAGTCTTAGGATGACAAGGACCGAGAAGGCTCGAGTTTGTCAACAACAACAACACGTTGTTGCTGCAGGTAGGACGCTCGTGAGAACGTACTGTTATTTATTGTGTTACCAACAAACAGTTTGTGAGTCTCAAGTTTAACAATATTGTTACAATAATGTGGGTAAAATAATTAAAGTTCACCCAACAGCGAGGCGGGAGAGTGTAGAGGTATACAGGCGGTGTCTGTACTGCAATAACGGGGATGCGGACATTGTGTTCCTGTACCTCTGGCCGCTCACGTCTGCCAACAACCACCACTATCACAACCAGCTCTTCCCTGGTGAGCCACAACACAAATACACAACTCTCATGATGAGTTTGTGTCTACTTTCTAAATTTTAAGAATACTCTGTAGTTCTTGGCTTTAAACGACGTTTTTAAAGTCCGTGTGCACTTTCAAGTTTTAATTTGATTTGTAAACACGGCAGAATAACACTGTAGACTTTGTAAGTTACACGCAGTTTATTCTTGTTACTATACCTTCCTGTTTGTCTCGGTAGGGTTGTCAAATTCCGTCATCCATTGTGTCATAATTATTGTCTCACAAAATTGTAAAGCAACATTCTGAAGCGAGCTGTACAGTTATGTATTATTAGAGGAATTATTGTTAAACTGAACGCCAAAAATGAATGCAACAATTAGGCTTAAAAGTTATTAAATTTGCCTTTTATTATGACACCTGTAAT